TGTGTCAGATGCCAACTCTAATCCTGAAGGTTTTGTCTGTGACTTGTCTGTTTTCTCAGAATTTGAACATTCATGGGCTTTAATAGGCCTGCCTGGTGGTTTGTCCTCAGCACTTTCTCTGTCATTAAGATGTGGTCACCAGAGCTCACAGCTCTTGGTGTGCTCACCTGAGCTGCTGTCAGTGGTTATGTGCAGTGTCCCCTCTCCTTAGTGCCATCAAAAGAGGAATGGCAGAGGCCTATGGTAGCAGAATATTTTTTCATGTGATGAAAGGGATTTGCAAATTGATAAAGAGCAATTTCATGTGGTTTACAAAAAGTATTCCAGGACTAAAAAATCACCAGAGGTGTGGGTGTGTGGTGGTCAAGTAAAACACTGTGGACTGTAGGGTCCCTGGGAGAGGTCATTGGTCAAGTGGGAAGGAAAGGAGATGTGATCAGTGGGAGATCAGTGGCCTGAAGAAAAGGAAGCAGAAAGACCAGCTGCTGCTATGGGAGGTGGCCTGACTGCCTGGCAGAGAATATCGTAGCAGTTACTTTTGGGGGTGGATTGCATATAGGATGTACATATTATGGAGACAGCGAGGAATCTACCAGAGTGAGAGTTAAATGAATGAAATTGAAGAGAAGTGCTGAGATTTGAATTCAGTTTTTATCTGGATTCACTCCCATTGTCAAAGTAGAGCAGGTCAAGAAGGAAGGTAGACATTGCTCCTGAGGAAACACAGTAAATGTGGACCGTATATGTTGAAGGCTTTGGCAGGCACTGGGGGGTATGTAGTCTCACAAGCAGAGTTCATTGACTGTAGATGAGAATACTATGGTCTTCAGGACAGACAGTTTCACAGCAGAAGCAGAGGGAAAGGGTGTGATAGGGATGTCGGGGGCCTGTGCTCTCGGGGGTTGTAACTGCTACAAAGGCCCTGTGCTGAGAATGGCCACAGTCTCCTCCTAGAGCATTTGCATTGAGAGGTGGGCTGGCTAGGAGGGGCATTTGGTGGATGAAATATCACTGTTCCACAGTTTAACCTCAAGACATTGAGCTTCTGAAGCAAACCACTGAATTGTGGTAGGGAATGCAGTTGGTCTGATTAGATTTTCATCAGGCAATCTGTGAAATAGAATTCAGCTTTCCCTGCAGCTTCCTGAGGAAGAGAGTACTTCTAGCACAACTGTGACAATGACATCAGCTCATATAACTGAAATCAGTTGATGTCTGCTCTCATGCATTGATCCGTGGTCAGTCATGCTAGGGTGTCAGCGTGTTTCCACATCTGACATAACTGCTTCCCTGAGTGTTTGGGTCCCTGCACCATGAAAAAAGGCTGAGGACTCCAGTGCAGCCAGCATCCCTCTTGGGGCTCAGGCTGGCACCAAGTAGCTGAGATCTGCATCACCTTTATTATGTGATCGTGGATCACTTTCGGAGGACACGGAGTCAACTAGCAACAAGTGGACATGAGGGACACAGTAGCATGTCTGACAGAGGAGAGTCTGTGTTGGGTTTCCAGGAAGTGGGGCTCTTGGTTCTGAGCTCTCCCAGGCTTCTGAACAGACTCCAGCCACTGGTCATAGCACTGCTAAACCTAGTTATCTTCTCCTCTTTCCACTGCCCACTTTCCTGTTTCCATCCTGGAGATGGACTGTTCTGTTCCCAGTGCACAGCTCATCTGTTCAATGTGCATGAGAATCTGTCTATTGTTGGAGGAAATCGTCTCTCATTTGCTCTCCCAGCCCCACTTACCTGGATGCTGTCTGCTGTTGGGCACTGTCACAGAATTCCTATATCGGCTGGTTCCCTTCTGGACCTGGGTGATGGGAAATTCACAGCTAGGCTGAGAAGGGAACGGCCTTTTCTCCTGGAGCAGAACATTAAGGATGGGACACGTGGCTGTCTCTGGTCAAGCATGGATGACTGGGAACTAACAAATAGATCCCTTTCCTGGAGACTGGGGCAGCCATGAGGACTGCTGCCTAGTTGTGGCCCCTGGGGTTAGTTCCCTTGAGGTCTCTTTAAGAACACATTCTGTTTATTGTTTGTGTTCTGTCTTAATATAGAAAACAGCAATGTGAGAATCTTACTTTGGATCTAAATAGTTGTTCCACAATCTTGCAGCTTTTTATTCATATAAGCATTTAAAATGATAAATTTCCTCCAGACATTCTACAGATTTGGGTATCATTTATTTTTGTTATCACTTAATTAAAATATTTAATCATTTGCCTCATTGTTTGATGTATGTTAAGTTGTAACATTTGGAAAAATTGTCTAGTTATGTTATTTTCTCTGGCTTTAATTAGAACATATGAATGTCATGAAGTAATGGGTTTTATTGGGTCATTTTCCTGCGTGCATACAAAATACTTTCATCATACTCAACCCTCTATTACTGCCTCTTATCCCCTCTCCTACACCTTGTCCCCTTTCACATCTCTAAGATTCCCTATTACTTTCACGCTCTTTTTCCTTAAATTCCACGAGAGAAAACATTCAATGACTTGTCTTTCTTGTTTCTCTTAACATGATGAAATCTCATTGTCTTGCAAATAATATCATTTCATTCCTCTTGGCCAAATAAACCTCCATTGTGTCGATTCACCACATTTTTACAGCGCTCATCCACTGACAGGCACCTATGGGTTCTGTCACTTGGCAGTTGTGCAGTGCTGGGTTGACATGGCTGTGCTGATGTCTCTATGAAAGCTCACTTTGTTCTGTGGTATCTTCTCCCAAGGACTGAGGCAGGGGCATCACCCTGAGTCCAAAGTTAGCCTGGCCTAAATAATGAGACACCGCCTCAAAATATCAAAAAATGTAAACTTCAACTACTCCCCCGAATAAGTTTATAAAGGAAGAACTAGGTTACTTACTGGGTAAGGTAGGAGTTAATACTTTTTAATTGCATACATATTAAAAACTAAATAATAAAAGCAGGGGGTGGGAAAGGAAAATAGAAGCAAGATATAAAAGAGGTGAAAAGTATATGGTGGGAAGGCATTCAATTAGTAGGAACAGAGAACACAGTAAGATATGTGCAGAGAAAGATAAAATAGTAAAGATCATAGAAACACATTTTTGATAATAGCTGCAAAAAAAAAATAAAAAGAAACAAAAATCCATAGTTCTTCCTTATTGGGGAGGTTGGTACAAGATTTCCCTGCTCCTTGGAACAGTTGTTTTTTTCTTTGAAGGTCAAACAGGCTAGGCCAGTGGGGGTTGTCTAGTTTGGGGATTTAAGTCAATGGCAGACCGCTCATCCAGCAACTGCACAGTCCGGAGCCAGATCTCCTACCCAGCAGGTGCACAGAAAATGCTACTTGCAAGCTGGGCGAACAGCAAGCAGCTGCTCCCCTCCTGACTCCCGGCAACCTGTGGCTCCCAACCTCCCAGTTCTCTCCAGGCTAGTTCCTCACTCGTGTTGACTCCAGGCTCGCTCCCCACTTGATTGATGGAAATTACCGAGTCAGTCATGCTCCTGCTGACTCCTACTGTGCTCTCCACTTGACTGTCATGATTGCCACTGGGGCTTGTCACCACTCTGCCTTGACTCACGCCAGATTGCATCCAGATCCCAACGAGGCAGCACCTTGGCAGTGCTCACTGTCCATGCTCACTCCCCAGGCAGCAGCCCTGGCTTTGGCTTGCGGGATTCCCATGTCACTCAGGTTGTGCCCACTCCCAGTCTGTTCCCCACTGCACTCCTGGCGGGTCCCATGCACCTGAGGCGGTCCCGTACTGGCACTTTCTCAGCATGGCACCTCTGTCTTGGAGTTTGTGGTCTCTACCCACATGGTTTTGTGTCTGAATTTCAGTCCCAGTCTCAACTAGTTTTATGGATCCACACACATTCTCCCAAGTGATTTTTTGTTTAGTTACTGGGGAGGGGAAGCTTTTGGGGATTAGAGATACAAAACTAGAGCTTCTTCTGCTCTTCCCTGGAATGTTCTTAAGGCCTCTCTTTAGCACTCTATTTGAGGGTCCTTTCTACTTTTAGAAATCTAAAGTTCAGTGTTCCCAGACTTCTGTTCTATCCCTATCTGCTGTTTACTACTGCCTTCCTGTGCCTTTCATACCACGGCCTTTCCAAGGAGATGCAGGGCCATGGAGGGCATCTTTACCTCCTGGCCCTGTTCCTATAGCAATTCTTATACGGCAGATATGCTTGTAATGAATTCCTTCAGCCTCTGATTATCTGAAAATGGCTGTTTTTTCATTTGTTATTAAAGGATGATGATGGATGCACAGTTGGTCATTACATAAAAATAAGTAGCATTTCTATACACAAATAATGAACAGGCTGAGAAAGAAATGAGGAAAATAATACCATTCATAAGAGCTTCAGAAATATTTTTGTTTCATTTATTTATTTGGAAACAAGGTCTCCGTGTGTAATCCAAGCTGGCCATAAACTCTCAAGCCTCCTGTCAGTTTCCCATGTGCTGGATTTACAAGTGTGTCCTACCATGCCTGGCTATATAGTACAATTTTAACCCGGGTGCTGCTGCTGGCTCATGCTGGCAATCCCAAGAGCTGAAATGGGGAAGGGGGAAGTGGTGTGAGGTCTCCCCGGGTTAAGACTTAAGGAGACCCCCGCCATCTCCAAACTAACCAGAACAAAATGGACTGGACATGTGCCTCAAGCAATAGAGTACTTGCTTTGCTAGTGTGAAGCTCTGAGTTCAAATCCTGACCCTGATAGATAGATGATTGATACGTAGGTAGAGAGATAGATAGGTAGATACTGTTAAGTAAATTTTTATAGAGAAACCCTAAGGCAAAAGTTCCTGGGACTGAGGAAAGTCCTATGTGTTAGATCCCAGTAGTGTGGCTAGTGGGCAGGTGGTGAACAATGCTATATAGATGGGAGTTAAAGCAGAGACAAAGTTTTTTATTTACTTTCCAAGAGAGAAAAGGACCAGACACCATTGGCTTCATGAGGTAATTTGAGTGAGTCCTTAAATGTTTTTGTAAGGAGGCAGTTGTAGAAACAGGTAGGGGAGTGGGTCAGGCAGTTGTTTGTCCCTTTCACAGATGGTGAGGTTGCATCCCTGATTAGATCAGCACATTGGCCGGGTTTGGCTTGGTCCAGAGATAGGTCTTCAAAGTTTTTGAGTACTGTCGTTTGTCAGACTAGAACAGAAAAGAGTTTGAAAAGGATAAGCAAGGTTTTGTGGGAATCTACACAGAATCGGGTCTAGATGCAAAAGGGAGTTATTTAGACTAATTTTTGGGCTTTACAGTTCCCTCCATCAGACATGGAAGAGATGATTCTTTGGAAGATGACAAGGGGCAACCCCCGCCCCCACCCACTCTAGGGTTGTTGAGGATGTGAGGTCCATCTTCTATACATGCTTCATGCTGAGAAGGTGTACAGACTTGTCCCTGAGGAGTCAAGGGGTCATTTTGGACTGGGTGCTTGTGGTTCACACCTATAATCCTAGTTACTCAGGAGGCAGAGATCAGGAGGATCACAGTTCGAAGCCAGCCCAAGCAACTAGTTCTTGAGACCCTATCTTGAAAAAAATCCATGACAGACACAGCTGGGTGGAGTGGCTCAAGGTGTACATCCTGAGTTCAAACCCCAGTATGAAAAAAGGGGAATCACTTTGGGGTATGGGTTGAAAATGAATAGCCAGGTTGGGTATTTGAGTCTTGGGGTTGTGCAAGTTTTTCATGAATAAGGTTTTGTGGTGCTGAAGAAAAGATATCACAAAGCAGAGAAGGCATGGGCCAAAAATGAGCAAAGAAAGGATGGCAGCCAGAGGGCCAAGAAAAGTGGTGAGCATTTATACGTAGACCAGACATTGAGCTTCCAGGAAAAGCAGTCCATACCCCAATTTTTAATTTTTATTGGTCATTCCAAACAGGTATAATTACTTGGTTAATAGTAATAGGAATTATTCCTGATTCATTTATGTAGAAACAGCATTTCCTGGTTAGATGGAAATTGTGAACATGAGTTGAGGGTTTCTCCCCCTTCTCTCTCACCAGGACATCTTCCTTATCCCTTTCCTCTCCAGTGACAAAAGGATACAGAAGAAAGAAGCAAGAAGAAAATCATGTTGTGAAAACTCTAAATTTGGTGAGTGGGGCATTACTGGGGTTTGAACTCATGAGGAATGTTGCCATTACTCACTGAATTTCCTGATTAATAAAAACTCATCAATCTCACGTGATTTGTAACCCAGGTCACACATGGCTGCCAGGATTGTAGGGTTCAAGTGTTTAGGCAGTGTGTCAGTAGGACTCAGTGACTTTTCCTCACCTTGGCTGAGGCACAGGTTCCCCATGATGTTCTCCAGGGCAGTCTTCTCGCTAGGCCTGAGGGTGAGTAATTGAATGATGATGTCTTGCAGTTCCACAGAGAGGTAAGATGGTATGCCATACCTTGGGTGCAGGACCTGCTGCTGCAGCTGCAAAAATGTCTTCCCTTTAAATGGGAAGGCAGCTGTGACCATGTAGTCCAGGGGGACACTCAGGCCATTGTATTTGTGGTACAGGAAGAGTTTGGTGGCATGGACTGAAAAAACAGCACACAACTCTATCAGAATCTGAAGCTAAAGCCAAAGTCGCTCTTCTCGATGTATCCTTGGGCATGCAGCAGGATGTTAGATTTCACGTGTGTGTGTGTATCATGCCTTTTTTGTGGCAGTATTTGATGGCACACACAATCTGCTTGTATACTCCATGGGCCTCATTCTCATGCAGGCAGTTGGTCTGTTGGATATACTGCAGGAGCTCTGCCCTACTACTGTGTTCCATGATGATGTAGCCCTGGTCCACTGTTTCCATCACTGGAACCGTTTAGTCATGCTCGGGTGGTACAGAGTCTGTTGATGATCACGTTTGGGTGCTGTAGAGACTGCTGAGAATGAAAGGGGCTTCCTCTGATAATGGTGAAACAAGAGGCATAAACTGCCCTCCCAGCTCTCCTGAGAACTGATAAAAAGCATTTTCATGGCCTGGGGACATGGCTCAAGTGGCAGAATGCCTGCCAGTCTAGCTTAAAACCCTGTGTTCCCTAGAACTGCAAGAAAGAAAACAGTATTTCACTTCTCATAACTGCTTCAGATGTGGGCAGACCTCTTTGTTTCTATATGGATTGAGCCTGACATGTTGCAGCTATCTTCAGTGGTAACCGCCATGATGGCTCTAAAGAAAAACCTGTCACATTTTCCTCCACAGATAATTCATTAGAGCAGTGTGTGGAGCTTTTGAACTAGACCTTGGTGCCTGGATGTTCCTGACTCTTTGATACTAGCTTAGAATTCTTCAGATACACTCTGGCTTGGATAAACTCACTTTCTCCTAACATTTCTCATCCGACCTAACCCGTGGGGATCCACTTTGTCTTCCTGCTGCCCCAAATCACACTCCCATCACTAAGTCCCCAAGAAACTGTACTCTGTCCTATTCTGTATGTGTCTGTTTCTCTTTCTTCAGTCTCAATGATGCCTTTGGGATGGTTCTCATGCACTGGGGCTGAACCGTTTAGTTTCATTTAAACATATTTATTATGACTATTTTTCTTTTATAAATATTAAATATACATGTATGGATGCATATGTAAATTACAGAACATGATGACATGAGCCTTTATACACCTACATGTAGCATAAGAAGTAGAGGGCAGGACTAGGGATGTAGCTCAGTGGTAGAGCCCTTGACGAGCTTGCATGAAGTCCTGGGTCAATCCCCAGTGTAAGGGGTCTCTAGGCGTTGGGTCCCTAAAGGAAATTCCATGCTGGGAGTGAAAACAACCACAAGAACCCTGGCACCAGAAGAAAGACTGCCTCCCAGTTCTGGTAACTGGGACCTAAGCTAAATGAGCACATGTGTACTTCCTGAACTTTGCTTCATCTTTTCTGAAAGTGTAATACTTTTCTGTAAGTTATGACTTTTTTTTTTTTTTTGTAAACTGTGACCTTTTCTGTAAGGTTGTGTCCTTGTTATGGGCAAGGCAGACATGGATTAAGAAGTTCTCAGTCTCCAGTTTTCACCTGATCTGTAAATAAATCCATTTTCTGCTCTTATACATATTATGTTGTTCTCTCTTAATGTAGGTGGGTGTTCCAACCCAGAGCCAGGCCCTATTGCTGGGGGAATGGGAAGCTCTGGTTATAGAATTTGGCAAACCTTGCAGGGATGGAATTGAGGCAGGAAATTTAGCGAAAGTACCCAAACCAGGTCATGGGGGACATGAAGCCTCCCTGGAGCTAGCCTTATGGGGCAACAGGTGATCTATCTCTACCCAGAATGACTCCAAAATGCCCCTTTTGAAAAAGCATTTTCATCTGGACCGAACCCTAATTAGAGCCCATGTAATTCACATGTATGGTCAATCAACAAAAGCCACTCCTAAGTACCACTCAAATCTCTTCCCTTTTCTTATCCCCTGCAGTGTATAAAAACCCATCCCAACCAAGGGGTGCTACAGGTGCTGCTGGTAACCCTGTCACTTACAGCCTGATACTCCCCCTTTCTTGGGAGTGTACACTCTTGCTCTCAATAAAACACTGTTACTGTTTTGCTATCTGTATGTCACCATCTAATTCTTTGCTTGGATGCCAAGTACCTGAGATCTTCTCTACCAGGGTCTTCTGACCCCACCCACCAGTACCATTTTTGGTGAATCAGCCAGGAGGTAAGCCCCTACACAAAATCCCACCTCTGTTCCCCACTTTACTGAGCCAGTGTACTTTCACTTCCACTTTCCTTATTTATCTGGAACACCTGGCACATGTCTATCACTATATACCACCAAGCACACCTGATTCAGGTTGGACGCCCAAAGCAGAGGCCTCCACCCAGGGGTCAGACTGGTGGACACTGGACACGGCCATTGGAGGAGCCAAAAATATCAGCATGTTGATGCCCATCCACTGCCAAAGACGTCTGGCCATGTTTTGGAGGAAAGTTGGGGTCATTCTCATTCCCCTCTACCATCTCAGGACCATAGAGGGTGCCCTAAGGGCTCATGGAGTCCCAGCCTCCTTACCTCCTAAGGGTTGTGTTTCTTCTCTCTCTTCTCCTTTATTCTTTCTTCAGATCAAAATGGGGAGAAGTACATGTATCCCAACAGATTCTCCACTTGGCTGTATCCTTAAACATCAGGATCATCTCGATCCTGGTAATCTGAAAAAGAAACACATTGTCTCCTACTGGAATGTAGCCTGGCCCAATACCAACTGGGGAGTCAAGTAAAGTGGCCCAAGATGGGAGCTGAAGTTATAATCCCATTTTACACTTAGATTTGTTTTGTAAGAGAAAAGGCATATGGTGATAACTATCGTATGCCAAAGCTTTTATGGCCTTGTGTCAAGACCCTTCCCTTTGTAGGTCGACCTCCAGCCCCCAAAGGAGGAAAGCAAATAATGAGGATGTGGACATCCTTGATCCCCTGCTACAGGGAGCGACGCCTGGCTCCCGGGGGACACCTCTCTCCTTACTATAATCCTCCCTGTGCACCCCAACCTCTGATGAGCCCCCCACACTCCTGAGACCCCTATATACTCGAAGTGAAACACTTTCCTTGGAGGCTTCCCAAGCCTTGTTCCCGCTGGGAGAGATGGAGGGGCTGGAGGGGCCGGTTTGGGTATAAGTGCCTTTTTCTGTAGCTGATATCCAACAGTGCAAAGAAAAACGTAGGAGATATTCTGAGGACCCTGATAAATTTGCAGAAGGGTTTCACACCCTATCCTTATCTTTCCATCTGTCCTGGAGAAATATCAGTTCCTTTTGGCCAGCTGTTTCACCCTCACAGAAAAAGAAAGAATACTTATTGCTGATTGTAGGGAGACAGATGTGACCCTTGGGATTGTCAGCTATGGACTGATACTGTCCCTGAAAATGAGCCTAACTGTGACTACCAACACTCTGGGGATGGGGCAGAGGTGAAGGAAAGCTAACATGGTGGAGGCAACCCTCATGGGCATGAAATCAGGAATGCTAAACCCATTAATTATGATGAGGTTAGAGGAATTACTCAGGTAGAAGTCCCGTATCATCTTAGGACAGGCTGCAGGAAGCCTTTAGAAAATATATCAGTGTCAATCCCTGCTCTAGAGAGGGGCCACTCCCTCTAGGCCACCATTTTATTACTCAGTCCACCCCAGACTTCAGGTGGAAGCTTCAGAAGGTACAACTTGAACCTCAGACTAATAAAATCCATTTGCTGGACACTGCTTTTCTGATCTATAATAACTGTAACCTGGAAAAGAAAAGAAAAGACAGAGTAAGGAAAGGAAGCAGGACAAAGTTATGGCTGCCATGTCTCATGATTGGGAATGCCCTCCCTTGCAAGGAACCCTAACGTGAGAGAGGAGGCAATCCCAAAGTCAACCTATTACTAATGCAAGAATCCTCGGCATTTTGCCATGGATTGCCTGGTGCCCCCCACCCCCACCCCGAGCCCTTGTCAAAACTGCTCTGAAAGAAGAGTTTTGGCACTGGAGGGTTGACTGTCCCCACTCTCAGAGAAGGACCCAGGCAGTTAAGACTCTGGCTGCACTGGCAGAAGCAGAGCAGAACTGAGGGTGCCAGAAGTGCCCTCAGCAGCCCCGCCTAAGATCAGCACATGGGTAAGTAAATTCACTTCCTATTGGATATGGGCAACTTACTCTGTTCTTCCTACCTATGTGGGAAAGCCTTTCTCCCTGATGATGTAATGAAGGTTGATGGGAAAAAATAGGGTTAGAAATTCCACCCACCTCTTGCCTTATTATTTTGAGATCCAAGTCTTCATGTACAGATTCTTGGAATTTCTTTTTTCTGCAGTACTTGGGTTTGAACTCAGGGCCTCATGCTTTCTAGGCAGGTGCTCTATCACTTCAGCCACTCCACCAACATGCATAGATTTCTTAGAGTCCCTGGATGTCATGGTTTACTCTTGGGACAGGATATAATAGGAAAACTGAGCATGGTGCTGCTAATGGGACTAGAGAAACAGATGATGCCTGTAGAACCCATAAAAAGGGCCTCACTGAGGCCCTGTTCCTAAGAACTCCCAATTTGGAAAAACCTTGTATGGTATTCTGCCACCAAAAGGGTACTAACTGTAGGGTACTAACTCAGAACCTAGGGATGGAACCTTGTCCAGTTGCCTATCATTCTTTTTTTATTCATTTATTCATATGTGCATACATTGTTTGGGCCATGTCTCCCCGCCCCCACCCCTCCCTCTCCCTCATTCTAAGAGGTTGGAAGGAGTTGCCCTGGGTTTGCCACGATGTCTGAGGCAATACTTGCCATTACCTTCCTAGTACAGGAGGCCACTACTCTGGTCAGCAGCTAGAAGTTCTTACCTTACCACCCATTAGGTAAGAGCCACCTTGGAACTAAAAAAGTCACTTGGGATGTCCAGGGAGATTAACTAAATACCAAGCCAACCTTCTAGAGTTCCCAGAAGTGAAGATAAACATCTAAATCCTGCATCTTTGCTGCCCTGTGAGCTAATGACTGAGCATACTTGTAAGCATGTGATCATACAAACTTATGCACAGAAACCAGACCTATCAGATAAGCCACTCCTTGAAACCGAGGCTGAATGGTTTACTGATGGAATTAGTTTTCTGCTAAATGAGGAGAGAAAGGCAGGGTATACAGTGGTGAGCCAAGAAAATCATTGAACCTCAGCCTTTTGCCAGCTGACTGGTTCTTCAGCCCAAAAAGTAAAACTGATAGTCTTCACTACAGCCTTAACTTTGGGGAAAGAAAACAGACTTAACATCTATACTGCTTCAAAATATGCCTTCCTGAATGTTCCTCAATATATTAAAGGCTATATATGACAAACCCATACCACCATTATATACTAAATGGAGAACAACTGAAACCATTCTGCTGAAGTCAGAACGAGATAGGATGCCCTCTCTCCCCACTCTTACTCAATAGTTTTGGAATTCTGATTATATAGGCATAGGCAACAACTTCCTAAATAGAATTCTAATGGCTTAGCAACTAAGAGAAAAATAAATGAATTAAAAAGCTTCTGCAGAGCAAAAGAAATAGTCACTAGACTCAAGAAATCAGGGAAATAATCCCATTTGCAATAACCTGAAAAACTCTAATGAAGTACCTTGGAATCAGTTAAAAAGGAAACCAAAGACCTTGTCAAGGGAAACTATAACCACTGAAGAGAGAAATCGAAGAAGACATCAGAAGATAGAACGCTCTCCCATGCTCATGGATTGGCAGAATCAACCTTGTGAAAATGGCTATACTCCAAAAGCAATCTACATGTTCAATGCAATCCCTATCAAAATTCCAATGACATTCTTCAGAGTAGAAAAATCGATCCTAAAATACATATGGATTTGTTGATTCCATTGTTAATGCCCTTGCTGTTTGTACTAAAATGGAAAAAATGAATGTTCTCCAATCTCTAGACTCCAAGTTTGTTTCCCTGGTAAACTCTTGCTGTTTGTGTTCGCTGAGTCTCATTCTTTTGTTTCCTTGTCCCTTGTGAACACTAGTGAGTTTGAGGCCTCTTGTGAGTTTTCAAGGTTCTTTAGTATTTATATATTTTTAGGAGTCAATATTGGGTTTAATTAGGGTTGCCCAGCCGGACCCTAGCACTTGCCATGCCCCCAGCAATTTGCTGGTTTTTGATAGTCTTGCTTTAGTTGTGGGCAGTACTGTTGGTTTGAACTCAGTGCTTTGGGCTTGTTAAGCAGGTGGCTCCTGCTTCAGCCTCAACTCCAGGGGGTCTTACATTTTGCCTGCTGTCCCCGGGTCCTTCTGTTTATGCTACCTTCTTAGCTGGGATGAGAGGCACAAGCCTTATTTGAGTAAGAAAAAATTAATGCCTTTCAGAAGAACCGAACGGGAGCTTTTGGTATAGTCCATATTCCATAAGGGCGTTACTGTGCCAACCCACGGAACAAGTGCTTCTCTCTGTCCTCCATCCATGCACTAGTTTTTGTGGATTTCTGGCTGGATGTCACACACAAAAGCCAAGAGGTGACCCGACTTTATCCTTATTCTGCCAGAAGTATTTCTGGAGGATGTCATCTTCTGCGGTCCATCTCCACCTTAGTGCTGCAACTGCCAGAGGATCCCAGGCCACAACTTCTGCTTGAGCTCTTTCCCTGCAGCGAGTACTGGTCATTTTCGCTTGTCTTCTTTAGCCTGCTCGCTTTGGGCTCTTTACCTGTGGCCCTCGCACACCTTTCAGCTGTCCATTTAGCCTGCAGAAGCTTCTGGATCCCTTCCACTGACTGGATGTGGCTCCAGAGACCCCCTGCAGGCAGTACTGGTCAGTTTCAGCCTGTCTTCTTTAGCCTGCTTCAGCCTCTGGCTCTTTCACCTGTGGCCCTCGCACACCTTCTCAGCTGTCCACTTCTCAGCCTGCAGCAGCTGCTGGATCCCTTCCCACTGACTGGATGTGGCTCCAGAGACCCGGGGACAGGTAAGAGGTCTGAGGCAGTGCAGTGGCCACTCCTGAGTAGCTAGGAATTACAGATGTGAGCCACTGTGCAGTACTGTACCTTAAAAATCTACTGCTATAAAAATTTTAATTCAATACTCCACGTTTGGTTCAGCCCCATATAACCCAACTGGCCTCAGCTGTTTCAGTTCTCATAACTATAAGACGGATTAACTGGCTGAATGTAGATGTGATAAATTTACATTACCATACTGCTTTGTCTACACTAAGTTTCAAAATACAGCAATACTGAATTTTGTTTTCTTTTGAAAAACAAAATTACTAATGGGTAAAACAATTGACTTATAGTATTTACTACACTGTCTACAGTCTTCAAGTTCATGGATAATGTAAGAGTAACTGTTAAAAGTGAAGTAAGGCTGGGCATGGTGGCGAGTGCTATAATCCCAGCACTCAAAGGCTGAGGCAGGAAAATCACAGTAACAGGCCACCCTGAGCTACATATCAAGTTCCAGGGTAGCCTACGCTCTGAGATCATGTCCCAGAAAATCAAAAAAAAAGAAATAGAAATGTGATAAATATTTCATCTGAGCCATTGGTAAGTAAGTTTAAATACTAAAACGTTTGCTAAGTATGAGTTCAAGTCTTCGTGCCCACGGACTAGGGGAGGAGGGAAAGAAAAGAGTAAGAGGCGAGTAATATCGAAATACAACAAATCTGTGCAGGAACAAGACACAATGAAATGCACTGAAAAACTTTGGAACAACATGGGGTAGGGAGAAAGAGGTAAGGAAGAGTAATAGAGGGGGTTAGGCTGATCAAAGTACAATATATTTACAGGTAAAATACCAAGGCAAAACTCCATTGAGACTGGGTGCCGGTGGCCCACGCCTGGAATCCTACCAAAGTCAGGAGGCAGAGATCAGGAGGATCGCCATTCAAGCCAGTCTGGGGAAATAGTTTGTGAGACGCTATCTTGAAAACACGCATCACAGAAATGGCTGCCGTGGAGTGGCTCAAGGTGTAGGCCACTGAGTTCAAATCCCAAGACCACACACACACACACACACACACAAACTCCATGAACAATGGACACTTAAACAATGAAGGACAGGACTATATAAAACAGATCGTGTTAAGGGGAGGGCATGAGTGGGAGGGGGAAGGTGAAATGAAGAGGGTAGAGGAGGGAGAATATGGTTGATGTATTTTCTATACATGAATAAATATGGAACGTTAAAACCTGTCAGAGTCATTTCAAGAAGAGGAGGGAGAGGAGGGAGAACAATGGAGGGGATGAACCAAACTGATATGCATATATCGACACGTCACAACAGAACCCCCGTGCAACTATTAGATACTAATAAAAACATTTAAAAAGCAGAGTCAGGTGTGGTGATGCACACCTGTAATTCCATGGTACTACAAACCAGAAAAAAAGAAAGGAAAGAAAATAGAAGGCTTAGAAGTCCATGTAAGCCCCTCCCCAGGTGTCCTCACCCTCCACACCGCACTGAGTTTTTTATGATTCCTGTGCTATTCATATTTATATCGTGTGTGTACGCGCCCACATCTGTTGGTATTGATGATGCTTAGTTTTGCTTGTGGTGGAACTTTAATAGGAAGGTATTTTGGGTTTTTCTCTGATTTGTCTTTTTTGGCACTCAACATCATGTTGGGAAGACTCATTTCTGTTCACGCCAGTAGTTCATGAGCACTGCACACGGCAGGTCATTGCATATGCAATTTACTAATCACTGTCCCAGTGGGTTTTTGGCTGTTCCCAGGAATTTTGGTTTTCTTTTTCCTAAATTACAAAGTAACTTTGGGGTTCCTTACCCCTGTTCCTTGAGCATAGCTCTAGGGTATACACTGAGAAGCAGAGCACTGAAAGGAAGAGAATAAACTTGGTTACCATTTGTCACAGCAGCTGAGGAATTTACACCCCAGTGAACAATGCTGAGACCCAGTTGAATCACAGGACAATGATTTTGATTTTCATGTTGGAGACAGAACCCAGGGCCTTCTCACGCTAAGCCACGCTCTGCCACTGAGTACATCCTATTCCTAATTTGACTTTCTTTCCTGAGAAAGGTTTTGCCATACAGAATAGACTGGTCTTGAACTCTCCATCCTCCTGCCTCACTTCCTGAGTGCTGGCATTACAGGCTTCCACCACCACATCCAGCCTTGCTCATTTCAAATTTGTGTTTATCTCATGAGAATGAACTAGTTTTGTAATTATGCATTTTTGTTTTGTTTGGGATAGGATCTTGCTATAAAACTGGCCTCAAATTCCTGGTCTTTCTGCCTCATCTGCAAGTGCTGGAATTACAGATGTACACACCAGACCCTACTATAATTATGCCTTTAATTTGCATTTTTAATGATTATGAAGTTAACAATGAGTTTTTCAGGTATTGGACTATTTCCTCTTCTGGGAAATAAACTGTCTGTTCATATTAACAGGGATAAGTTTTGTCGTTTAGAAGCAAGTATATTCTAGACTCTGTTCTTCACTAGTTATATGTGTGGCACACAATTCCGTTCTCAGTTTGTAGCCTTTTTCCTTGCACTGTGGTTGTGTGTTTACCTCAACAATGTTTATTCTAAGAATTTCTAGCATGTGAGTAGGTTGACTAAGATGATAGACTCCAGTGTAGCAGCACCCATCATCACTTCACTACAACAAAACCCATGACTCATTCTGACCCTTCCACCACGCCCTCACCTATTCTTTCCTCCATGCTTGGTTTTCTTTTTTTTTTTTTTTTTTTGCAGTCCTGGGACTTGAACTCAGGGCCTACACCTTGAGCCATGAGTCCAGCCTTTTTTGCGATGGGTTTTTTGAGGAAGGGTCTTGAGCACTATTTGCCCAGGCTGGGTTTGAACCATGAGTCTCCTGATCTGTGCCTCCTGAGTAGCTAGGATTACAGGTGTGAGCCCCCGGTGCCTGGCGTTTTCTTTAACTTTTTGATACAAAGTCTTCCTATGTTGCTCAGTCTGCCCTCCAACTCCTGGGCTCAAGCCATCTTTCCTGCTCAGCTTTGTCTCCCAAGTCACTAGAACTATACATGTCCAGCTCATGTTTTTTTTTAAACTGTAAACATCATGTTTTCATATGTAAATATTTGAAAGGATATGCCTCCTGTCTGGATGCCTTCCTTACCTCCCATGGGCACAAACACACCCATGCCAGCTGCCCAACCTCCAAAAGGCCCTCCTGTCCCTCTGCGGCTCCAACGCTGGTGCTGGAGAACCATCCCATGGGAGCCTTCATACCCTGCCCCTCCCCACTGTGGGCCTCATGGTTCTCACCTCCACCTCCAATGTGGTGACCTTACCTTACTTCTTCACACCTAACTTTTCAGGACAGACGCTTCTTCATTTATGATGGGGTTGTCTTGATAAACCCAATGCAAGGTGAAAATATGTGAGTCAAAAATGCATTTAAACACCATAGCCTACCTTACACATGATCAAAACATATTTGCCTACAGTTGGGGAATTACTAACAGAGAATAAACTACTGAGTTTTTTGGAAGTTACTGGGATTTGAACTTAGGGCCTCACATTTGCTAGGCATGTGCTTTACCACTTGAGCCACTCAATTACTCCTTTTGTTGTGTGTTGGGTGTTTGTTAGATAGGGTCTTGCTTTTTGCCTGGGCTGGCCTCAAACTTGGATCCTCCTGATCTCTGAGTACCTAGGTTTGCAGGCGTTAGCCACTGGTGCTGGGCAAAAGTAATGACTTTTTGTGTAACTTACTGTGTAACTTAATGATGGGATGTGAAAATACAAAACAATTTCCAGTTAAATGCTAGCAACACAGCATACTGGAGAGTATGAGATGCTGCCCTCTGGATCCTGGTGCTGACTAGGAGCTGTGGCTCATTGTGGCTGCCCAGCATTAGAGAGAAGCTCTCTAATTTTCCACATTCCAGGAAAAGATCCCAATTCAAAATGCCAAGTGTGTTTTCCACTGAATGTACATTGCTTTGGCACCATTTTAAACCTGGAAAATCATCAGCTGAATATTGTAAGTTGGCAACTGTTTGTCATGAATTGTTCTCTGCCACCTGGAATGGATGGACAACCCTGCTGCTACATGCAATGTTTCCCAGTTCTGGAATACACAGAAGGATTCTTCACTCACAGGTCTGGCCCCTCAGTCAGATGGCTAGGACACCTGGGCGCTGGCTAGACATCTCTCTTCCTCTTGACACAGCCAGTTTAAACTTCCTTACAGTGTGATGGTCTCAGGTCCAAACTCCTGGGCTTCCACATGTCAGGTCAGACTACTCACTTCTATTATGGCAAATAAAGAGATGGTAATGTTTATTAAGGGCAGAGAAAGATTTATTACTCAGCCTGGGTAGTACTGTGGAAATGGAATTTATTACTCAGCCAGGGATATACCATAGGAATAGGCAAAGTAAGCACTCATCCCATTGTTAGCCATCTTTGGGGTACAGACATGCATTTTGGCTTTAAATAGCTACAGAGTTGGGCAGGGTTTGAAAGGTATGCACAGATAAACAGTCACACTTACAGGTGTTGATCTGGTTGGATGTTGTCTCAGTCCTTGCTCTTAAAGGGTCCTGGAGAAGTTGTTACTGCCGCCAACACTTGAGGGGAGCAATCTGGTGCCCAAAAAGTGCTTACTCCTGCTCCACAGTGCAGCCTCATTGTTATGGGTATCTGTCCTCATTTGGAAAGGTGGTCTGTGCTCCAAGGCTCCACTGTCATTAGGGATCGTTTCAGTCCCTTCTCACAAAGATGCTACTGATCATTCCCATCCTTCCTTGATTCCAAGGTGACTGCAGGAGAGAATAACTCAGAGCAAAGGATAACAGGTACAAAACTGAATCAGAGATGCTAAGTCTTTCTCCTTTGTTCAGTTAATTTGTGTACCCAAGGAAGGAGTCAGTGCTTTTCAGCAAAAGCAAATGCTTTCACATTGCTTAAATTGTCCCCTTTGTTTGAACATTCCTCAATGTTGAGGGAACTAGAAGACCAAACCTACAAATTATGGCATATTCCTATGCTTTATAGGAAACACACTTAAGAACATAATAGCAGAAAACTTCCAAAATATCAAGAACAATGCCCATCCAGGCACAGGAGGTCTCTAGAAAATAAGCTGACACAACCACTGAATGTCAGGGTTGTGGGGAAAGGGGAAGGGAGGGTAATAGAGCGGTTAGACAGATAAAAGTATTATAATTTACAGGTAAAATGCCAAGGTAAAACCCTTTTGAACAATGAACATACACTTAAACACTGAAGGACAGGCATGCAAAACAGGTGATGTTAGGGAGAGGGCACTAGTGGAAGGGGAAAGGGCAAATGAAGAGGATAAAGCAGGGTGAATATGGTCCATGAATTTCCTGTATGTGCATGAAGATGGAACACCAAAACAGGGTGAATTCAGTTTAAGAAGCCAGGAGGTGGTAGAGGGACAATAATGGTAAGGATGAACCTAACAGAGTACAAACTACTCATATGTGGAAATGTCACCACAAAATCCCTGTATCACTTTACAAACTAACAAAATTGTTAAATCAAGACATACATGTGCAGGCCAGATTTCAAGTAGCAAGATTGCCCAAACATCAGGGTCTTTTTGTGTTGTTTTTTTGGTTTTTGGGTTTTTTTTTCCTGAATGTTACCTTTACAAATGGCAGGATGGACAAAAGTTTTATTGACCATTTTTGTATGTGGAAGGTTTAGATGTCATGCATTGAAATAAAGAGAGCATGAGCTGGTCATTTCACATGTACACATTCACACTTTTCATTTTGAAAATGTTTGCATAATGGTTAGATAAAATTGAGACACGCACCTCTACATATTTCCAATTGCACGCGTATGAGACCAACCAGAGCAAACAGTCCAGAAAACCCATCTCCAAATTAAGCAGAGCAAAATAAGCTGGAGGTTTGTCTAAGCAGTAGAGAGCCTGCTTTGCAAGCTCAAAACTCTGAGCTTAAACCCCACTCCCACCAAAAAAAATTTTAAAAAGAAAAAAAAGACTTTTACATGAACAGATACTTAAATGAACTCTGCTTCAGTTAAAGTTTAGCTTCCTAAGTAGTCAAAAGCTTCACAAGATCAACAGGAAACACATGTGATTGTCTTGAGACAACACAAAACCTTCCTTTAAGCCAGTTTCTTGCAATCGTTACTAAGAATAGATCAATATTGAAAAGCCTTGTCATTACAGACTTAGAGAATCAGGTTTTAGTTTTACATCAGTATGCTAGATTTGAACCTCAGAAAATTCTTTAGGCGACTTTTAAATTATAGCCAACTAAATCACACATATAAACCTTTGATAAGCTTCCTCTTGTACACAGTTTGACGATCTACTTGTGTATACTTTACATAACTTTCCACACCTCCTGTTTTCTTGACTTAGCCCTCTGTTTTCATTTTGGAACAATTCTTTAGGACAAAAGTTACTTTACAAAATTCTTTCCATCCAAAAGCACTGAGATTGTCTGGTATTTTTTTTCCTATTTGCTGATTTCTGTCTCTTTTTTTGTAATTTGAAGTATGAAATAATTTTTATAAATTTTTTAACTGACACAAAGTTGTTTCTTTTCCCCATCAAATAAAGCACTCTTAGTAGCCTTACATTTCAATAAAACCCAGGAAGAGAGGCAATATTAAACAACTTCTCGATACAATAGCAATTTACAAATATGCATTTGTTAATAGATCTAATTATAGATGAGAGTTGAATGCAAATAAATAAATACAGTTAGATAGATAAATAAAAACAACCTAGTAGTACTTGATAGGCAGCAGGTTCAGCAAGATTACAGAACACAATATCAATACAGAAAAATCAGGTGGATTTCTATACACTAGCTTAGTAGTCCAAAAATAACTAAGAAGACAGGGAAAGGGCATAGTCACATAGGGACACTTACAGTACACACCAATAATACAGTTTTAGAAATTTAAGTCCATCTCAGTGAAAGACTAAAACTACAAACATTTTTGAAAGAAATTAAGCTCTAAAAATAACAGAACCTTCTTCCATGTTCATGAACCATTAATTCTGTTAAGATGGCAATGCTCATCCTGTGACGGATTCAATGTAATCTTCCTCAAAATCCCATCTAACTTATTTGCAGGATTTGAAAAGCCAATTTTGAGATTCATATAGAAATTCAAGGAACCCAGAAAAGTCACCATCTTTACTGAGAAGTACAAAGATAGAAGACTCACACTTACTGATTTCCAAACTAAGTTCAATACATTAAGGGAAATCGCTCAAGGCCCAACCAAAAATCTAGCCCTCTTTCATTCCAGGATCAGAGGGGACGTGCACAAGCACACCACCCTAGACCCTGAGACACTGGAGGGTCTACCAGTTCTTCCCACGTTTTATCAGGCAATCCTCACCAGACAGACAAACTCCAAAATCTTCAACAGAGCCTCCCAAACTCACTTCTCAACCTAAGTAAAAATGGCTTCAAGGCCTTCAGATCTTCAACGAAGGAGGTACCAAGGGCTGAAAAGAGGTGACAGGCTGATTGTCTGTGGCAACTGCCAACTCCCTTTCACTCCAGGGAGCCCTCAGGCTCTGTACACTAGCCCTAGCCTTACTTGAGCTAATTCCAGGCAACCACAGGTTCTATCATAATTCAACTTAGACTGCTATAATAATGGCCAGCCTGGACATTTCAGTTCCAACTGCCAAAATCCATGTCCCCCACCAGATCATGTCCATGCTTCAAACAGGAGTGCCACTGGAAATGGGACTGACTTCCTTTCCTTTTCCATGAGGAGAGGTCATTCCAAGCCCAGGAATCCCATGAACAGCCTATTCTTTGTGATTGGCAGATGCCTCTGACCCAGTTCCTGGACTATGAGGCATCAACAGATGGGGGAGACCTGTAACTCAATTGATGTGGTCCAGGGGCTCAACAGGCTCCTGTGTTCTCTACCTCTATCTCCTGTGAAGCCCTGAATGTGGCAGGAAATAAAATTATTTTTCTGATAGAGATGGCAGCTTCATAGTCTGTCCTAGTTACTGTTCCAGGACTCACTGTTCAATCCCTGATCCTCCTCACAGAAACAGATGGACAGCCCCAACAGGGTTGCTTCCTTGCTGCTTGTTTGCTCACTGGAGACCACTGTTTTCACTCATTATTCCCTGGCACTGCCTAAATTCCCCTGTCCTGCTCTTGATAGACATATCTAATCCTAGCTAGGACCAGCTTTGTGTCTAAACACATGTAGCACTGGGTCCACCTTTTTTATGGTAATGGGCATTGAACTCAGTGTCTTACACTTGCTATGCAATGCTCTACCATTTGAGCTACAACCCCAGTCGGTAGTGTCCACTCTTGACTGGCATTTCTGGCCCCATAACCACAAGTCACCCTGACCTTTGACCCTTTGTAACTTCACTAAATTCCCACTGAGGTCTGGGACACTATTCTCCCTGGACGTCTGTTTTCTTGACTCTAGTCAAATATTTCTGATAGACTTCAACCTCTCCCTCAAGTGCCCCTCAAATCTTCTAAAGCCAGAGGCCCAAAGAGGACTCTGGCTAAATTTTTATCAGCTGGCCTAAAACCCCTTGCAATTTCCCCTGCAACAGCCCCATCCTGGCAGTAAAAAAAAAACCAAACCAAAACAAAACAAAATAAAAAAAAAAAAAAAACCAAACAGTTGGCTCTTAAAGGATGGTACAAGATCTCAGGTCCCCAATGAGGCAGTTCTCCCCCCACCCTAATTGCCCCTAACCCATATACCCTACTAAGTCAAATCCCCACAGGGTCCCTGGTTACAGTCCTAAATTTAAAAGAAGACTTCTTTTGCATCCCTGTACACCAAGATTCCCCATTCTTGCTTCTCTCTCTCTTTCTCTTTCTCTCTCATAAACTCTTACAGTATGTAGATGATCTGCTCCTGTGTAGCCCCCCTCAAACATACCACACAACGTAATTTACCACATAACAAGGGATATAGGGTCACCCCTTCCAAGGGCCAAACATCAGTTTCACAAGTCACTAACCTGGGTCTCACCATTACCTGGGTGAGTAGCCATTGTTCATTGCAAGTGCCAGCACAGATCACAGATATCATCTCCCTTAACAACTCTCTGGCAGATGCCTAGTCAAGGCTGCCACCCGGGGAAATTCATCACCTGACACTCCTGGAAGGATTGCCCTTTAACCCATGCTCTTCTCACCTTCCCCAACTTTGACCCCCCAACACAAGGACTGAACACACCACTCTCACCCGGGCTCTGGAATACCTAGTTCTTTCACATCTCCATAATCTCTTTCACTCACTAAATCTGTTTCAAGCTCAACTAACTCAGCCACTTAGTCTTACTTTATCTGCTCCCGGGTGTCCCCCCGCCCCAGGCAAGTGTTAGGCCCACCCTTCCCCACACACCAGGCACAAGGCAGTCTGCCAGGACTACTCTATGGCTGTCCTTCTGTCCTTCACCACATACCCCACACTTCTACCTCACTTCTCACAGAGGACATCTGGCTCACTCTCCACCTTTCCTGACAACAATGTAGACAATATGCTTGTTGAAAGCTTCACTTTGTAAACCTTCCTCTGACCTTCCAGCTCAGTCTCCAGCCATAAAGCCAAGGGATGAAGTCTGTATCTCCAATTCCTCAACACCACTAAAGCCAAAATGGCAAGGGCCACACCAGGTGATTTTGACTATGCCCACCATGGCCCAGGTTAATGGGCAACCACATTGGATTGACCAAACTCCACTAAAGGTACAACCCAGTCAGAACCCGAAAAAAGGTGAGAGCTCCCATATACCAACATCGCTCCCCACTTAAATATTCCTCTCTCCCCACAGGACCCACTTCACTCCACCTTACCAGGATCACTGACATCCTGACTCATCCATGCCTCTAACTATAGCCCATTTTGAGTCCTTTCTATACTATCTTGCAGAGGGCTATGCTGCCATCCCTATTCAGTCCCACACGTGCCTCACAGGCCTCCTCTTCCTCCAGTAACTATGGCACCAGGACTTTTGTCCAACCCAGATTTCCTACTTCACCTTCTGCTCCCACCACTTAGAGACACTCAGTGACCTCACTCAATTCTGCCTTACTCCAAATCAGGGTTTTACCCAACAATCTGATACCAACCTCTCACAGGGGCCATGCTGCCTGCTCTTTCCCAGTGTGGGAAATGGAAAAGCCCCACTGGTGCCAGACCAAAACATTCTCCTTGGGGCGGGGGATTGGCGGACTGGATCAAGGGGCAGTGGGCCTGCCTAGCAAACATGAGGTCCTGAGTTCAAACCCCAGTACCGCCAAAAAAAAAAAAAAAGACATTCTCCAAGGTGGCTACTTTGACCTACAATTTCTGTCTGTCTGCACCAGGCTTCCTTTCCCTGTGTGGAACATTTTCCTGTCTTTGTTTACCTGCCAACTTCTCAGGCACCTGTACCCTTGGACACCAGATTCTGGATGTGGCTACACTACAAAATAACCAAACAATTCAGGTTCCCCACTAAGCTTCCCTGACCTTGGGAGCCTGAGTCCAAAGAGCCATACAACTCATTCAATCCTTGTTGGCCTGGGACTCTCAGGCTCCCTGGGGACTGGGATAGCAGGAATAACCTCTTCCTCACTAAACTTTCAACAACCATCAAGAACTTTCTCCGTCACCTTAGAAGAGCTAGCCCAGACCCTCCAAACTCAAATTGATTCCTAGCAGGGGTGGTCCTCCTAAACTAGGGAATTCTTTTCTTTTCTTTTTTTGTTATGGGGCTTGCTAGGCATGCACTCTATCTTTGAACCACACCCCTGGGACTATCATATTGCACTTTTTGGCAGCATTGGTGTTTGAACTCAGGGCCTCATGCTTGCTAGGCAGGTGCTCTTACTTCTTGAGCCACTCCCCCAGCCCACTGGTGAACCCTTGACCTCCTAACTGCTAATGATGGGGGACGGTGTCTCTGTTTATAAGTTCAAAGCTGTGGGGTTGGCAGAGTGGCTCAAGTGGTAAGAGTGCCTGCCTAGCAAGTGTGAAGGCCCTGAGTTCAAACCCCAGTGCTGCCAAAAAAAAAAATAATAATAAAAAAAAAGATAAATGCTGTTTCTATGTCAACCAGTCTTCGTTCATTCACAATGCTCTTAAAAATCCCAGGAAAGCGCTTCTGATCTCCCATAACATTCCTAAAAATCCCAGGAAAGTGCTTCTGGTCTCCCATAACATGTGACAGTCAACTGGGGACAGTGGTCTGCCTGAGTTAAGTGGATGCCACACGTGGCCCCCCATTGGGAACTGTTATTTTTTCCTCATTCTGCTGACAGTGGAACTCTTATCTTTAAATTCCTTTCTCACTTTGTTTTCCAAAGGCTCCGTGCTTTGGTCCACACTACTACCCAAAAACAGTTCAACTCAATCCTGTTCCTCCAGATGGCCTGCTACAGATGCCTAAAACAAAAAGTCCCTGCCAGTACCCTCTACCTTTCAGAGACCTCAACTCCCTAACCTAGCAAGAAGCAGTTAACAGACTATTGTGGTCCCTTCTCCCAAACTATATATAGCACAAGGCAGGGATGTAGGGATGTTAAAGTGAGCATAAGGGCAGCCTTGCTGCGACCAGATGCCATTTCATATGCCGTGTGGATGGCTAACTGAAGCACCTCACCTAGCCCCAAAGAGTGACAGACATCTGCCCTTAGCCATTGTCACCAGGAACACGGGATGGTTAAACACACAAGTGACCTAATCACAACTTATCTTCCTTAGCTGCCTAGCCAAAGACTTTTCCTGCTAGCCATCTTCCTGGTACTTTTCCAACAAACTCCTTTATCTAACCCCAGTCTCTAAATGGCTGTGGACTCTAGCTGGAGTCCACAGTCCTCCACATATTCTTTCCCAAATAAAACCTGTGCTGACATTGAGCGGTCCCCTCACCTATCTCTCCCTGTGTTTCTCAGTTAATGAGGAATTTGATGGACTGTGAATGGATCCATGGTCTGGTGACATGTGAGCAGACATCAAAGAGATCATATGATCACACGTCTTTTCTTGGAGGGCATGCGTAGGGACGTGATTAAACATACTGACTTCTATAAATTAAAGAAAACCACTCAAGGCACCATCAAAAGCATTTCCCTCTTTCTTTCCAGGGTAGGAGGGCAATGCACAAATACTCTATCCTAAGGACTGAGATACTGGAGAATCTAGCAATTCTTGTCATACATTTTATCAGGCAATTCTCACCAGACATTAGACAAAAACTCCAAAATCTGTGACAGGGCCCCCCAAACTTCCTTCTCAACCCAGCTAAAAATGGCCTTCAAGCCCTTCAAAAGGAGGCATTTACAAATGAAAAGTGGTGACATGCTGATTGTATGGCCATGGCCACTGCCAACTGCATTTCACTGCAGGGTGGCTTCAGGCTGTGGACACTAGCCCCAGCCTTACTTGACCTAATCCCAGGATACCACAGGCTCCCCCATGGTCCTCATTCACCTACTATAATTGTGGCCAGCCTAGATATTTCAGTTCCAATGGCCAAAATCCGTGTCTCCCACCTGGCTTATGTCCAGACTTCAAACAGGAGTGCCACTCAAAGTGGGACTGCCCTTCCCTTGCCCACAGGAGAGGTCATTTGAAGCCCAGGATCCTCATGAACAGCTTATGTGGGGTGACTGGCAGATGCGTGGTCACTTGGACTATGAGGAATAAACAGCTGGGGGAGACCTACAGCTCGACTGATGGGGCCCAGGGGTTATACAGGCTCCCGTGTTCTCCATCTCCATGGAGTACTCCCATTTAACCCTGAATGTGGCAGGAAATAAAATTACTTTTCTGATGGAGATGGGGGATCCATAGTCTTCCCTAGTTACCATCCCTGGACCTCCTTAACAGTCCCCAATCCTCCTCACAGGAATAGATGGACAGGCCCAATAATGTTCCTTACTCCCCTGCTTGTCAGCTCTCTAGAGACCTCTGTCTTTACTCATTCTTTCCTGGTACTGCCTAATGCCTCTGTCTTATTCAAGCTAGGACCAGCCTTAGTGTCCAGAACACAGGTAACACTAGGTTCAGTCTTTTTGTTTGTTTTAGTACTGGTCTTTGTACTCAGTGTCTTGCACTTGGTATACAGGCACTCTATCATGCATCAGTTGACAGTGTCTACTCTTGACATTGATCCTTTCTAACTTCACCAAATTCCCGCTGAGGTCTGGAACCCCACGCTCTGTGGACATTCTCTTTCTCCAACTCAAGTCTGAAAGACTTCAGCTTTTTCACCAATTGACCCAATATCCCCTCAAACCTGAGGGCCAAAGAGGACTCTAGCTCCTCATTCCTAAATTTTGATTGGCTGACCTAAAACCTCCTGGAAATTTCCCCTGCAATACTCCCTACTGGCAGTTAAAAACCAGATGGCTCTTACAGGATGGAACCAGAACTCAGGGCCATCAGCAAGGGAGTTTTCCCTCTCCCCCATTGTTCCTTATACATGTAGCCTAGTAACTCAAATCCCCACAGAGCTTCCTAGTGTATAGTCCTAGAATCAAAAGATGCCTCCTTTTGCATCCCTGTGCACCAAGATTCCCAATTCCTTTCATCTTTGAGTGGAGAGACAACCAATACTCAGATTGCCCAGCAGTTAACCTAGACAGTCCTACCCCCACATCTCTCCTTCTGCAATACATCAATATAGGTCTAACAAAAAAACCCTGGAATTCAATAGCCAGGAGTCTGAGGCTCACACCTGTAATCCTAGCTACTCAGGAGGCAGAGATCAGGAGGATCCTAGTTCAAAGCCAGCCCAGGCAAAAAAGTTCATGAGACCCTATCTCGAAAAACCCTTCACAAAAATAGGGCTAAAGGAGAGGCTCAAGGTGAAGACCCTGAGTTCAAGCCCCAGTACCACCAAAAAAGAGGGGGGGGGAGAGGAGGAGGAGGAGGAGGAGGAGGAGGAGGAGGAGGAGGAGGAGCTGAGATTTAAATACCCTGAGATTGGTGGCGGGGAAAGTTTGGCCAGCGTCACCACTATGACTCAAACTCTAGCGTCCCCATCCAGAAGTAGGAACCTCCGCCCTGCTCTGCCCAGGCCTGTTGAGCATGAGCACATGGGGTCCTTAGGAGGGACCAACCGAATGAGGGCATTTCGGATGCTGCATCCCTCCTCTATGTGCGTGGCTCTCACCGCTCTCCTCCCAGGACAACAGTCCCCCTGCTGTTCACTAGGAGGTGAAGAGAACCGGCATCCTGACTGACAGGTGGAAAGGGATGCAAGCTGGAGTGGGTCCAGACTATGTTGATGCCAGGAAGCAATTGGAGGATGCAGAGGAAGGCGCTTGTTTTCAGACCTTTGGCACACGGATCAGAGGATTGGAAATACGGACGTTCAGCAGCAGCACTTTCGGTGCCTATTTCAAACCTTGAGGGCACTTGAAAAAGTACATGCCTGGTCTATTCCCAGGCTTTCCTCACATTTTGGTTCCAGGTGATTTTCCTAGTGGAGACCTCCATGTCCCATGAGGAGAGGCCCTGGCCATTGGCCATTCCGTGGAAAGACGGTTTCATTCCTCACTCCTGCGCTGGACAGAGGCCTTTGCTGGGCTTGCTGGGCTCACAGCAGCTTGAAAGTCCTGCTTGAATCCTTCCTGCAGCTGGCTGAGGATATACCTGGTCCAACCCCCACACTATGGTGAAAGGATCCACCGCACACGGGGTCCTCTGGCTCTCTGTTGTTACTGTGCCTTTCTCAGCTGTCTGTAGCTTTCACTGAAGCCACTTAGTTGTGGAAGTGAGGGTGTCACTTTTGGCCCCGCACACAACAACACAGTCTTAAAACAGAGTTCACAATCCTCCTCCTCACCCTCTTCCAGCCTTGAATATTCCCGCTGGAAGGCACTGTGGCCACATCGTGGGGCTGCCCGCTGGTGAAGGCGTGTTCATCTGAGGACATTCCCTTAGAGGACATGCCACTCTCTACCTCCCCAGGGGGCGGAGCAGCCGCAGGACCAGGCTGGGGGACGATGCTTGTGGTAGAGACATTCCTTGGCAGGATGCAGAGGGGAACATTAGGCAGGCTGGCTGTTCCTCTGCCCCTGTGCCCTGTCTTGTCATCGGAGGACAACGTGAAGGTCTGAAGAAGGCCAGGTGCACTGGCTCTCCTCCTTGGCGGGGGAGCAAAGGTGGAAGGGTCTGCAGGGGATGGGGTGGGCACAATCTCTGGGCGCACCTGGGGCTTAATTCGGGCTCTGAATGTAACCTCCTGGCACATTTGATCTCTCAACATGAGGTAGGTGGCCATCGCCTCATCAAATCGTCTCTGCAGTAGAGACTGGCGAATGTCATCTGGGTTGTAACCCAGGTCACGCATGGCCACCACGATTGCAGGGTCCGGGTGTTTGGGCAGACGCTCCACAGCTGGACTAGGTGACCCTTCCTCCCCTTGCCTTAGCCAAGGGTGCCCCACGACGTGGTCTACAGTGGGCCTCTCACTAGGGTTTTTCGTGAGCATCTGAACTATGACATTTCTCAAGCCCATAGAAAGGTATCTGGGTATGTCATACCTTAATTCCAGGACTGCCCGCCGCACCTGCATAACAGTCTCCCCTCTAAAGGGCAAGGCTCCCGTCACCATACAGTAGAGGACGATGCCCAGGCTCCAGACGTCCACCTTTCGGCCATCATAGGGTAGGCGCAGGAATACTTCAGGTGCCCGGTGTGTAAAGGCACCACACCAATCTGTGAGCTCCTCTCCAATGGAGTACCTGGTGCCAAGGCCAAAGTCGATGACTTTCACGTTGCCTTCAGTATCAAGCAGGATGTTGTCAGCTTTCAGGTCTCTGTGCACAATGCCTCTGTCGTGACAGTATTTGACTGCACACAGGATCTGCTTGAAAATGCCACGGGCCTTCTCCTCACACAGGCGCAGGGTGTCTCTGATATGCTGCCGGAGCTGCCCTCCGCTCACGTACTCCATGACCAGGTAGACATGGTCCACTGTTTCGATCACCTGAAACAGTCTGATGATGTTAGGGTGGTCCAGTGTCTTCAGTATAGAGACTTCATTCGCAAGGTAGGAGCTATTCTCCCACTTCTGCTGTAGTTTTACTGCAACCTGGGTTCTTGTGAGGTGGTGGTAGGCAAGTTTCACATAGCCAAAGTAGCCTTCGCCTATGGTCCTCAGGAGCCAATACTGAGCCTTCAGGATCTCATCAGGGGACCTGGCACTGAGAGAGCGCTGTGCTGTCAGCCACTCATACCTCTCATCATAGAATGATCGTGGCATCTTTACCAAATTTTAGAAAAGAAACAAATTAAAAAGCCCCCCCCCAAAAAAAAATAACCAATAATAAAGACAAAAAACAATGCTACCTGAGAAAAAAAGGAAACGTAACAGAAAGAGAATCAAAAGAAAAAAATAAAAGAAAGATATCAAATCAAAAGGTAAATAAAAATGAAAAATATTAGCAAAAACAGGGCGCAAAAACAAAGACCAAAAAGCAAAATCCCAAAATCCGTCAACCAAGCTTTGTAGTAGTCCAGCAGGTCACCAACCAAGAGCCTCCTGCGCTGTATGGACAAAAATCCAGCCCAGGCAAATTCCTTATATACCTGCTGGATGGCAGTTGGCCTTACTAACAATGGCCCCTCGGTGATGTCAGAGAACAAGTGAACCAATCACAGCTAGGCACAAGCCACGGGTCTTATCTCATTGGTCCAAATACCATTACAACTTTTTTTTTAAAAAATTCAAAAAATAACCTACTCCAACAGTTTCTTCCTTGATGGGTCATGGAGTCTGGTATTTCTCCCTGTGAAGCTAAAGCCAGTGGATGCTTCAATGGCCTCTTCAGTTGGAATATGAAACTCTGTGATAAAATTTGGCTTTTAAAGACCTCATCCTATCTACACTCAAGGTATTCAATTCCTTTGTCTTTAAACCTGGAGTGACTGATGTCAAACTAATCCTTTGGTAGCAGTTCTCAAACTTCCACTGTCACAAAAAGAAGTGTTCCCTAAAGCACCATGGAGCACTTTTAACATCTGTTGTGGGGGTGGGGGGTGGAGAGAGCCCACTTCACCATAATTTCCCTCATCAGATTTTGTATCAGAAGCCTTGGAACCCAGAAGACAGTGCGTTGGTATTTTCAAAGTGATGAAGGATAAAACCATCTGCTAAGAATTATAGCAGAGAAAAAGTGCTACAGCCCATTTGTGCTGCTGTTACAAAATGCCTTAGAGAGGGTTATGTGTAATTAACAGAAATTTATTTCTCACAGTTGTGCAGGTCGGCAAGTGCTTGGTTAAACTTCCCGGGAACTTCAGTGTGCCAAAGTGCTTGTTTTTGCTTTCTTACTTTGACTGTTACCCTGTTACTATTTCCTCACAAGGTGGAAGGGTAGAGACAGTCTTTGAAAGAAAACAATGTAGCAGACACACTTGCATCCCCCATCCAAATGCAACAGATGAGATTTTATTTTACTTGCTTCAGATCTCTTGTTGTTGCTGCTGCTGTTGTTCTCCTCCTCCCCTTCCTCCTCCAATTCCTTGTCCTCTTCCTCTTCTTGGGGTGTGGGGAGAGATCTTGGGCAGAGTCTCAGTGTGTAGTCCCAGCTGCCTTGAATGCTTGATCCTCCTTCCTGAGCCTCTGAAGTGCTAGGATTACAGGTGTGCCAACTCCCCCACCTTCTTCTTTTCAATTTTTTTTGGGTGGGGGAGGGAAATAAGCCACACACCTGCCTAAAGCCCTGGGTCCCATCTACCCTCCTGGATATTGTCATTTTTGGCTTTTGTTCTGTTTTGACCTTGCAATACTTGGGATTTAACCCAGGGTGCTTCCCACATGCTAGGCAAGTGCTCTACCACAGAGCTACATCCTCCTTGGATATAATTCTTAAGTCATTCCGTCTTTCCCATGTGTTTATCGACCTTTCCATCCAGTCAGCTCACTGAATTCTTCTTAGGTTAGTGTACCTGCAGACACCCTTGAATTCCATGCAGTCATATGACCCTGCACATAAAAGTACAATTTCTCCTCCATTGTAGTTTTTATCCTTTCATTTATTTTTTTCGTCTTACCATGATGTCCAAGACATCTGGTACAAGGTAGAATGTTACCAGTGATAGGAAGCAGAGTTCTCTCCTGTCTGACCTTAATAGAAATGTCTCAAATATTTCACCAGTAAGGATACCGTTTGCTATAGGTATTTGATAGATAACCTTTATCAGGGTTCAGGAAGTATCCTTCAATTCTGAGTTGAAGTTTTTATAAGGAGCAGGGAGAAGGATCAGAAGAAAAAAACAGTAGGCCTGAGTTCTGATAAAGTAGCAGGGAGATAGGGATGGCTTAGTAGAGAGGTAAAACCTGAGGAATCTGAGCGTGGAGAGGGTCACATAACACTGGGGAGGGGGAAAGTCACGTAGCAGTGGGGTAAAGTAGCCTATGGAACTGCATATAACCATATATGGATTAGACTTTGCTTTTTCCTTCTGTAACCTGCTTGCAAGGATATATAAGGTGAGACCCCTTTGTTCTAGGGGCTCAGCCTTTGGACAGGAGTTCGCTGGGTCTGTGCCAGCACAATAAAACTGCTTCCTGCTAAACTGCCTCAGTGTCCCATATCTCAGCTTGAGATTCCCACAACAATATTAAAATTTTATTAAATGCTAGCCAGACACTGGTGGTTTATAAGCCTGTGATCCTAGCTACTTAGGAGGCTAAGATCAGGAGGATCATAGTTCAAGGCTAGCCTGTGCAAATAGTTTGGGAGATCCCATCCCCAAAATAATCAGAGCAAAGTGGACTGGAGGTGAGATGTAGCTCGAGTTGTAGAGTGCCAGCTTTGCAAATGCAAAGTACTGAGTCCAATCCCAGTGCCAACAACAAAAAAAATTATCACTTTTTGTGTTGGCATCTATTGAGATGTTTGAGGTTTCTTCTTCATTGTTAGGTTGATAGATTACATTGAATTTTACTTAGCCAGAGTTGGTTTTTATGGTCACAGCACACTTGGCTGTTCCAGTAGCAGCGCCCCTCCTCCATGAATCCCTATCCCTGCGTCCTTACCTATTCATCACCCCTCCCACATTGATCCAGTAAGTTGTTCTGGTCAAGATCTGTTGTGATTTGGCCAATGAGACATTACAAAGGTGACACAAGCAGAGGTTTGAAAAGCACTTGTGCACTGGGCTTGCCCTGTTTTGCTGCTTACTGGGAAACCTTGTGCCACAGGAGAAGGCTGAGGTGACCTGACACAGATGTGACTCAGCTGACAGCCAGCTCCACGGCCAGACATGTGAGGGAGGCCGTGCCATCAGATGGCTGTCGCTGCCCGAGGACTCAGGTGAGACCAGCAGAGCTGTCCAGGTGTGCCTGCCTGCGCTGCCAACCACAGAATCACAAGCACAAATAGGTGCTGTTTTCAGATAGTTTTTTGGGGGTGACTTGTTAGACAGCAATAGATAACTGATACAGGGACATAGAACTATTTGGTTGTCTGTAATTTTCTCTCTCCCACAAAAGTTCTAGCTGTATTAATAACCTTTTCCCACATGAGGGGCCAAGTCTCCTTTCTAATTGCTGTCATCTTCCATACACAGCTTGTGGTACAAGATGATGCTCTAGCTCCTGCCACTGCATCTAAACACCAGCCAAGCAGAAGAGGAAGAGGAGGGAATTTCCTCTCCTACTTCAGTCACTCAGCCTGTCCTTTTCATATTGGTTATTCTTGAGATGGGTCTTGCTTTACATCTGGCCTAGACCAGCTCCCCACTAGCCTCAGAGGCTTTCACTATAGTCCAAAAGGAAAAACTCAACAAGGCGCAGCATATGCTGGGCAGTTGGTTACCCAGAAAAACTTGGTCCTGCCAGCTATGCCAAGAGATCCTAGGTTTTCAAGCCCAGCCAAAACATTTGACAAGACAGCCTTGCCAGCCAGACCTCTGGACCTGTCCCCAGGGCCTCCAAAATGGATGCCAGCTAGAGCACCCACTTCCCAGGAGAGGAGAGGTCCAGGATAAATTTGTTTTGAATCTTGTCTCCCAAGGGTGGAATAACCTAACCCACTGGGGGAGGTGGAGGCTGTGCAGACAATACCCTGAGGCAATAATTCTCAGTCAGGTCCCTGGACCAGCAGCCTAACCTGGGAACTTGCTAGAAATGCAAATTCTCAGATCTCACCAAAAACCTTAATCAGAAACTCCAAAGGTCTGCCCAGCAGACCTTAAAACCTTGTAAAAAGGCCTATACCCAAGCACAAGAAAAAAGAAAGATTGCCAGTTGCTGTATGTAAGCTTTTAATTAACTTTACTGGAAAGTCAAATTCATGAGTTAGTACGGATCAAAAGATTGTTTGCATGGGTTACAAATGAGTCTTTTTTTTTTTTTAACAGGAATGAAACAGTGCAAATTATAAATTGTAAAAAGGAAGAAAAACCTTGTTGGTAAAATTCCAGAGAAGCAAGATTTTACACAGCATATTGAAGATCGATAGATATTTTAATTTGAGAACAAGAATTTAATGTTATAGAATTATACACTACTTTATAAAATTAAAATTTCTATGTAAGGGTTATATTAGTAATAGTTAACAAAATCTTGACATCACATTTGGTGGTCTCCTACATAATAGCTGTTGTGTATCCTTGATTAGAAGAAATAAGTCTTTGTCTAATTATTGCAAAACAGTCTATCATTCTCATTGTTCTTAAAGACAATGAAAATACATGCAAATTTAAAAAATGGTAGAAATATTTTGATTTTAAAAATACAGCATTTCAGAGGTCCGTGTTTGATTCTCTGTTGGTCCTTTGTTTGCTATAGTTTGCTGAGATCACAGTGAAAACATCTCAATCACCACATTTAAGTCACAAACTTAAATGGAAGACAAAGGTAGGACAAGTTCCCAGGAATTCTGCATTGCTGTGATTTCCTTAACAATACTAAGTCCGATTTCTTCATTTTCACTTGCTATATATGCAATAAGAATTCCTAATATGACAAGGCAGATTCTGTTCTGTCTTCTACCATGTTTTGAAGGAACTGTGCACCATTCACTGGACTCTCATCCCTCACAAGTAAAATGTAATTTTATTGTTGGATAAAATGTAAATAAGAGTGGATCTAGGACTGGAGGTCTGTGGCTCAAGTAATAGAGTGCCTGCCCAGCAAGCCTGAAGCCCTGAGTTCAAACTTCAGTACTGCCAAAAAAAAGAAACAGCAGACTTGTCACAGATTTTTGACCTACTGTGATAACCCATTATATTTATTACACAAATGGCTACTTCTAGAGGTTTTCTCTGAGAACATTTGGTTAATTGTGTGAACTTTGTGTTGTTTAAGGGAAAGTGTAGAGTGGAATTGGAACAAACTGTGAAGTTTTTTTGTAACAAGTAATTCCAATAATTGTTTATAAAGCACAAATTAGTACTATCTACTGAAAATAATTATTTTTCTTCTTCTTTTCTATATTCACATAATTTGCATAAGTATTAGTTTGCATATATCTGATTCAAACAGGTTCTTGTCAAGACCAAACAAAGTATGTCACAAATGAAAACTTGACTTACCTTATTACATAAAGTACTGAGAAAAATGGTCTCTGCTCTCTATGCCATGAGAGAAAAGCTATTGTTCTGGCCGACTCTGGTGTATCAAATTCTGTCTGTTAGACAAAACCAACAGTATCCAATCAGCTTAAGTTACGTGTCTATTATAAGGACTATAACACTCCTCAAATTTTACCATGCTTATGAATCAATTGCCTGGTGGTTTTGTTGGTCCAGATAGTGAATACTTTTCTTGGAGTTCATTTTGTCTCAGTTGTAAATTCTCAACTCTGCCACTGTTACATTAAAGTGGCCATAGACGATATGTAAGTGAATGGGCACACCTGTGTTCCAATAAAACCTGAATTACAAAATAGGTGGCAGGCCTCCATGATCTAAGAGAATGTCCTAACTCTTCTCTACATTTTTATGACCTTAGAATAAATGGATTTATTCAGGTGGTTATTAACAAACATGACATTTTATTTCCTCATTACTTAAAATACCTGCTCACTGAGTCCAGTAATTTTGTTCAAGGTCTGAAAACCAGGTCTTATAATCCAACTGACAGTGACCAGGGTGTCAATTATCCTAGCTAGAATCTTGACACATCAGTCTTTTTAAATAGCTGAATGCCTAATGACTCCACCAATGTAGACATAGAACCCATCACTTAAAACATGCCAATATGGAAAAGTGATGAAATAAAACACATATTCCAAAGGTGGCTACAAACTGGTAAGAGGGATTGAAAAATAAAAAACTAAGAAAGATTGTCTATTATTGATTTGAACTTTAGAATTCAAAACTATCCAAATGCTATAGGTTCCAGGGACTATTTCAACTATTCTTTCATAAGCAAGAACATTCTTACTTTACAAGACTATTTGTAGTGACTTGGCCAAGACCACATGGCTAGTGATACACAAAGGTCTATTATTCCTATCTTAAGTAACCAATATTAATCCAACTGACAGTGACCACCTGTCATTTGCTAAATTAAACCAGAATTTCAAGTAGTTTAGTTCTTACTTCAAAACAGCACTTTCAAAGACCCTGCCAAAGACTGGAGGTAACATTCAAGTGGTAGAGTGCCTGCTTTATAAGCATAAAGCTCTGAATTCAAACCCGTCCTACCGAAAAAAACAAAAAAAAAGACGCTGCTAAGCACCTGCCTGGCAAATGACAGGTCTTCAATACAATCCTCTGTCCCTACTCCACCCCCAAAGAAAAGGGAGGGGAGGAGAGGAGAAGAGGAAAGGAAAGGCCCTTCCAAAGACTGAAAAATCATTTACCAAGAACAAAACAACACCAGAATGGGGTTGTAGCTCAGTGGTAGACTCTTCCCTACAATGTGTAAGGCATAGCACCAGTCTCACAGAAAAAAAAAGAAAAACAGAAACAGAGAGAGAAAGAAAGACAGAGAGAGAGACTCACAACACTAATATCATTTGTAGTAAACTCTTTTTTTGGTCATTAACTAAATTCATTGCTTTCTCCTCCAAATAGAACACTGTCTTAAACATAGACAAGTCAATGCGAAGTCACACGAAGAATGCCATTCTCTCTTTTTTTGACAGTACTGGGGGATTTCAACTCAGACCTCACCCTTGCTAGGCAGGCACTCTACCATTTAAGCCACACTGCCAGTTCTTTTTTGTATTGGGTATTTTCAAAATAAGTTCTCTGGAACTATTTGCCCAGGCTGGCTGCAAATTGTGATCCTCCTGATCACTGCCTCCTGAGTAGCTAGAATCATAGGCGTAAGCCAATGACAACTGGCTAAGAATGTCATTCTTAGATTAGGAGGTGAGGTAGGAGCATTGTGGGTTCCAGCCCAGCCTGGCCATACATGATGACACTGTCTCAAAGAAAACAGGGAAAAAAGAAAGTCATTAAAATATAATATCAACTAGCATGGTGGCAAGCCCATGTAGTCCCAGGTACTTGGGAGGCTGACATGAAGACCATTTAAGCCCATGAGGTCATAGACCAGTAAACACAGCAAGATCCAGTATGGAAACACACACACCACACACACACACACACACACACACACACACACCACAAAACAAATGTTTTCTTTTTGGGAGAAATTTGGAGTGTTGATTTCTGATTTCAAAATGTGATAGTCATGTTTTTGCCTCACTTGACATGTCCTTTAAGTCTATAGTCACTGAAGTAAAAGTCTTACCATAGTCTGTGGAATTGATGCATAGTTTGGAATCCTACCACTTGGTGGAGAAAACTCTGCACAGTTTTTCCCAACACAAAGCATCAGTGCCTGTGAATAGGAGTAAAATTATCTTAGAGGATGCCTCATAGGAAGTGTTGGCACCACACCTCTGGGAGTATTTTGAAAGGTCAGAAGGATGCGTGTATTTACAGAGATTGTACAGTTCATAACAGGACTAAAAACAACTAGTATTTACCACAGTGACACCTGGCATGGAAAAAGGCAGTGGTGGGAGAAAATGGCTGACACAAATACATGTAGAGCAAAGAGTACAAATCTATTCAAGAAGAGAGATACCATGGGGAAGGAAACCTAATGCTAAAAAGGAACAGTGGTACAGTGAGGGGGTCAGGAAGTCAAACTACTCACAGAGCCTGAATCCAGGAGGAAAGCGCCATCTCTGCTCAGTTTCTCCGTGGAGAGCTGAAGAACAGGGGGCTGAGGGTGATTCTGTCATGATGCTGAGGGCTTCCATCTCCTCCAGCCCCCCCCCCAACCACCCGATGCGCGCGCCCCCCCCCCCCCGTCCTCTCTCCGCCCCCCCCCCCCCCCCCTCTCCCCCCCACGCAAGACCACCCCCCCCTCCCCGCCTACCCGCGCCTCCTCCCCCCCCCCCCCCCCCCCCCCCCCCCCCCCCCCCCCCCCCCCCCCCCCCCCCCCCCCCCCCCCCCCCCCCCCCCCCCCCCCCCCCCCCCCCCCCCCCCCCCCCCCCCCCCCCCCCCCCCCCCCCCCCCCCCCCCCCCCCCCCCCCCCCCCCCCCCCCACCCCCCCCCCCCCCCCCCCCCCCCCCCCCCCCCCCCCCCCCCCCCCCCCCCCCCCCCCCCCCCCCCCCCCCCCCCCCCCCCCCCCCCCCCCCCCCCCCCCCTCCCCCCCCCCCCCCCCCCCCGAGGAAGTGAGGAGGTGATTACAGCTGCTAGACACAGGTAGGAGAGTCACAGGGAAGAAAAAAAGCAAGTAAAGGAGTGTTACCTCCAAGAGTTTGGGCCTTACTCACTTAGGCCAATCACAGTTATTCATAATATGAAGAAGATGAAGCTAAAACAAAGCTGCTTAAATCCCAAGAAATCCAAATTAACTTCTGAATCCTAACTATTATTTCAAAAGCAAATGCAATCCTATGTAACACTATATAATGCTGTAGAGTGAACAAATGATGTCAGTGAGGTCCAAATAACATCTGGAATTAGTTAATAGTAGTACAGCAATCGATTTGAATTTACTGGATTTCACAAGAGTATCATGCTTTTGTAATTTACTTTATGTTGATGTATTTATTTGAGATAGGCTCTCACTATGCAGTCCAGGACGGCCTGAACCTCACCATCCTCCTCCCTTGGCACCACGCCAGCTGAAAACATTTTAAAATTTTCTATTCTTTCTTTGTTTTGACACGGGGCTGCCTGTGTTGCCTAGGCTGGTCTCAAGCCTGTGGGCTCAGATGATCCTCTCGCCTCACTTTCCAAGGAGGTGGACGATGGTGTGGACCAAACCTGTGGGCTCAGGTGATCCTCTCGCCTCACTTCCCAAGGAGATGGACGATGGTGTGAACCATCACACACATCCGAGTAAAATGATGGGGGTGAGAACTTTCTGCATTGTATTTGTAACTGACCTGTAAATCTAAATTCCAAATGAGGGGAGAAGAGGAGGAAGGGAGAGAGAATGACGTGTTAACACTGTTTCTCTCAGAAAGTATTAGGAGTGCTTTACTTGTCTCTCATTTTTTTTAGTGGTGCTGAACTGAGGGCATCCTACTTGCTAAGCTGGCTCTCCACTACCCAGCCACATCTGCAGCCTCCTCTCTTCCTGATAGTTACGATATTATAGACACAAAATCAACAACATTAAAATTCCATGTCAACTTGCTATGCTGCTATTTTTTAATGGGAGGAAAAAAGTAAGACTGAACCAGGTATGGTGGCATGGGCCTGTACTCCTAGCACTCAGGGGGTGAGGAGGATTTAGAGTTCAAGGCCAGCCTGGGATGCACAGTTAGACCTTGTCTCAAAAAAAAAAAAAAAAAGAGAGAGAGAGAGGGAAATTTAAGTTTAGTTAATTGAACTTATCAAATAAGTAAGATTATTTTGTAATACAAATTAATAATGTTAAGAACAATTTTCATTTGTAAAAAAATTACCTCCTGTTTCTCCTTTACGTGATGGTTAATCTTACCTGTCAACTCTTTAAATTTTTTAACCATGGTTAAATGCCATGAAGTAGGCAGCAATGTCTTCACCATGTGGGTGTTGTCAGGGCCGAGGGCCCTTCCATCCTTGTCAAGGGAGTGCTAACCTCTCCTGTCATACAACACCTTAAATGTCACCTTGACTGGATTGAGAAGCACACAGGAGACCAGAGAACACACCTCTGGGGCGTCTGAGATGGTGTTTGCAGAGACGATTACATCATGAGCTCTCTGGATGGATTAAAACTCCTTAATTGATTCATAGTTTGATGCCATTACTGGGGGAGGTGAAGGTGGGAGGTGGGGCCTGGTTGGAGGAAGAAGGTCCCTGGGGTGTCCTTGAAGGGAATATCTTGCCCTGGCTGGTTCCTGTGTTCCTTTTCTCTGCTCCTGGCTGCATGATGGGAACTGCTCTGATCCACAACACCTCCCCACCATGATGGACTGACACCTCTGAAACGGTGAGGTAGAATAAATCTTTCTTCCCTTAGGTGATTTTTGTCAGATATTTTGTCAAAGATGATAAAAATAATGAATACAAAAGATATCTTAAATTTTTAAAAAATTTTGAAAGATTTTAACCAAAACATTACTCCCTATCTCTACATATACTAACTTGAGCACAACTGTAAATAGATGATGATTTAACATTTTTATGCTTTAACTTTAATAAATATGGCAATAAATAATATGACTTTAATAAATTTCCTATCAAAAGCAAAATATTACAACTCAGATAAATATTTTCCCTTTACTTCAAAGACAGCATTACATTGAACATGGACCTAGGGTACTCAGATGTCATTTCACTCTTACCATACATCTTCCAGATCAATTTGTTTAAATAAATAGGCTGCTCTGGTCAACTTGACATTTTCTTTATTTCTTACATCTGTTCTAGAGACTTGACTTAGGAAACTAAATAAAGGTACTATTTTCAGGAGCTTCCCTGAACCAGTATCTCTCTACATATAACTAGCAAAAAGATAAAAATATAAAGCTTTAGATAACAAACAAACCTCTTCTCAATTCAGCACTGGAATGAGTATGATTACGCTTAGAAAACATCTAGAAAAAGCCACTAAAAAAAGGAATCCATCTTTCCTCATCTGAGAGATTGTCAATTCTGTACAAACTGGGATGAGTTGTGAGCATAAGGTGAACCAAGGGCTGGGTTTGCACTTGACACAGCAAAATGTGTTCTTCTAGATACACGTTTGTCCAGTCTGGAATGATTTCTGTAATGAAAAACAAACCCCGTGCCCACCAAAAGAAGACATTTAAAAAGTACAGAATTTTGTAAATGTCAGACAGAATTTCCAAATTTACTATGAATTATTGTTTCAAAAAATATTCTAAGAAGTCATATACGTGTATTAACTTGTGTCTACAGTGTCACCTAAAAGTCTGGAGCAGTTAATGAACTGACCATGGCAAAGCTATCTTATATGTTTCCTCATCATAAAATAGGTCTACTATCTACCATGACATAGTGACAGTGATGTAACAATCTAAGCAGTATCACAGGAAGGACGTCAGTACGTAGCAGATGACAAAGGCACACATGACGGGCTATGGTATCCACTAAGTGTTCTACCAATGCTGCATGATAATGAGTGGTGGCTGTCTCTGTTTCTCCCACACTTAGAGAAACTAATCAAGATACCAAAGCTTGCAAATCAATGATGAAAAGTAGTAATACAAATGATGACTACTAAGTACAAAAGAGTTCATAAGCAAGAGTGACATTTAAATAGTGTATTAGCTTCATGGAGAATGATGAAGTTTTGAGGTAAAGGTTTCCAGGGGACGGAAAGGGGTAAAAGAGGCAGAGAAAACAGGAATGAGATAGGACTAAAGCAAGGGCACCGGCTAAATAAAAGACTACGAGGAACCCTGGGGGAAGCGCAATTTATGAGGGACAAGAGAGCACTGCTCATGTGTCATACTGACACACCTTCACGTGTCCTGGCGGTGCCCATGCTGGGTCACTGTCCTCAGAACCAGCTGGGCTTCTGATGCCCATGAGCACCTGCACTTGTGCAGCCGCCTACTTCCCAGGGCTGCAGCGCATCAGTGCTATGGGGACAGGGCCTGGGCACTGAACTTCCTGTGTCCTGTTACACACTCTCTGCCTGACGAAACCAACTCTCTTCCTTTCTCTGTTTTTGCTTTTCCTTCCTTTTTTATGTCCTTCCTTCTTTTTCTTTCTTTCTTCCTAGTACTGGCGTTTGAACTCAGGGTCTTACCCTTGCTAAGCAGGTGCTTTACCACTTGAGCTACACCACCGGTCCTTTTGCACTATTCTGCCCCAGCTGGCCTTGGCAGCAATCCTCCTAAATATGCCTCATGCATAGCTGGGATCACAGGGGTGCACAATCATGCCCAGCTTGTGTGTTGAGAAGGGATCTCACCAACTTTTTCCCAGCTAGCCTCAAATCTTGATCTTCCTGATATCTGCCTCTGCCTTTTATTATAGGCATGCACCACCATGACTCAGCCTACCAAACTAAACTTTCTCTGGTCCTATCTGTGACCTTTCTTATAAAATCCAGTTTTAGCAAGAACCCCCACCCTCAATATCTGATCACTCTCTACAACTCATCAGGTTCATCATTCTCCATCATCCCCCAGCTGATGTCTAATTACCCTGGACTATCTTCATAAGAATCTTGTTAGCAAGAAGCCCCTTTACTCTTTTTTTTTTCTGTTCCTTTGAGACAGTGTCTCAATAGGTATCCCAGGCTGGTCTTGAACTCACAATCATCCTGCCTCAGCAGACCAAATGCTGGCATCACACGGGTGTGCCAATAGTCCTTGGTAATCTTGATGGTACCTATTAGTAATTTTCTATCCATCAACCCCACCTTACTCTTTCTAAAATTCCCAACTACCCATGAGGCATTCAGAGCTGCATGTAGTCTCCTACTGTGCTTCCAACAAGTGTCATTGAATGAAAAAACAAAAAGCTGTATGATTTTTGAAATTAGTATGTGGACAGTCACTAAGAAGGAGGCAAGTACTACGGGAAATGAAAGAAGCAAAGCTCCAAGTACACATTAAAAATATTTAATGAGTGTCTATTATGTTTGTTTTGGATTTTTGTTTATTGTTTTGGCAGTACTGTGGTTTGAACTTAGGCCTTTGCACTCTACCACTTGAGCCACATCCCCAGCTATTATGCAGGGAACTGTTTAGGTGCTGGAACAAAGTAGTGAATGAAAAAGATAAAAGCCCTATGGTTATGTCAGACTGCATTCTATACAAGGAGAAGAAAATAATAAATAAGCAAAATACCTGGTCAGTAATATGTGCTTCAGAAAAAACCTAGAATGGAAGAGTCAGACATGTCAGGGTGTTGTAGGGAAGGGAAGGATGAAGCGGTGCATGTTAAATAGAAATAGACAGAAAACCTGAGAAGGAAGACAGATATGAGAAAAAAATCAAAAAATGACAAAAAAAACCCTGAAGTAGAGGAGAAGCTCTACTTCTGTGTACTTATATTCCAAAATGGAAATATGTACCTTGAAACTAGAGCCTTTCCTATGAGGGGAGAGCAGGTTGCCCACAGCATCTAAAAGAGATTACACACACCAGGCAAGCAGATCTTGGAAATTCAGAAAAACACAGAAATAAACAAGATCTAAAGCAGCCCTGATCAGTACTTTTTATCAAAAAGCACTATTATCAAGAGCTTGTAGATAAAATGCTATGAGAAGATTACTTGAAGTCTGTAAGCTTGGACATTAAATGCTAGACACTGGATAAATAAGCCTATTCCATGATTCCAGAGTTCTCTATTTTTTTGGGAGGTGAGGTAGAGACACAGAGCAGTTAGGGAAACATGTAAATTACATGCCTGTAATCCCAGTGCTTAGGAGGTATATAGCATGACCCTGTCTCAAAACAAAAGAACCAAATGAAAAACGCTATGAACAAAGCTAAAACTAAACTGAGGCTCCATGAAAGAAAATTTTCCCTATAGGAAACTCAGAAAAGGGGTATCTATTTCTGTGAAAGGCACATCGAAATGTGAAAGAAATCAATCTTATGAAAGGCTTCCCTGAGGGAGAAAGGATGTAAGAACCAAACTGATGTTAAACTCTGCATTTGAAAACGGGACAAGAGAATCAAAATGACAACTAGATCTGAGATGGAAGTAAATAGTTAAAGACCCAAATAAGTTTTCTCCTAGCACACAAGATTTGGGAAGGCTGTGAACATGTGTGTGGTAGTAAACTAGTTTTTAATCTCAAATTTCATGACTACAGGTCTAACAATCTTTATAGTGCCCTGCCACCTCTTACTATCCAAGCTACTGTGCTCATAAAGCACTGTTATAAACAATCCTACTAAGTACCGACATTAAACACTGGGTAGCATGGTTATTAAGTCCAAAGCAGATGAGTACAGGACTGAAATCAGTTTACTGGGGACAAGGCAAGCGAGGGAAGGAGGCAGGAGTGCCGCTAATTGCTTATGGGCAGAAGATAAAAGTGCTCTAAACTCAGACTGCGATGATGGCTGCACAACTCTGTAGATAGACTAAAAACAATGGAATGGTACAATTAAAATGGTGCAGTCCTGTGACAATAATTCTATCTCAGTAGCGCTGTTTAAACAAGCAAAAAGTATTATCTGTGGCAGATCTTTTTATTGACATAGCTATAAGCACCCAAATTGAAACCTATAAAGCTAATCATTTACAAGAAAACAAAATATGTGAATTTGCTTAATGGTTTTACTTGTAAAATATTTACAAGTGATATCCACTCTTACCCATATTGGCCAATAACCCTGAAATTGCTTGAACATCAGCTTCCAGAAAGACTTCATTCAGAGTTGAAACTACTGGCAAACACAAAGTACGGATAGTATTCTTCTTTCACCTTTGGGGAAAACACATGATAGTAAGGACAGCTACATTCAAAAAAGATTATGCTAGAGTCAGGTCTTTTCACTATAGAACCAAGTAGTGTCATATAGGAAGCAGAGATGCTATCAACACTCTAGTCTGTGACAACAATAAAGTTTTTTTTTATTATTATTTTTTGAGTATAAAACTCTTTATTTACAGTATTACTAAACAGATAACAGGGAGCATATTTAAATGATAATATCCTAGCATTTTCTTCCTTCTCCACTTCTTTCTCTATATCCCCCACCACCCCGCTTTCTTTTTTGAGAGGAGGACTCACTATGTAGCCCAGGCTGGCCCAGCCATATGAGTGTTGGAATTACAGGTATCTGTCAGCACACCTGCCAATATGCTAGTGTGCTTTGTGGCCTTTTTTAAGTTCAGAAAATTTTTATTTTATTTATTTTATTTGCAGTACTGGAGTCTGAACTCAGGGCTTCACACTTGCTACCCAAGACCTCTACCAATTGAGCAATGCTCCTAGCTTTAATTTTACTCTTTTTAAACACAGAAAAAAAAAATTAAAGGAAATAGATTAGTAGTTACAATGCCCTTTCTTTGCTAGTTACCTACAACAACTATCAGTAATTCAAAGTAAAAATGAAAACTTTTAAGAATCATCAAATTATCTCTCTCCTCTCTCTCTCTCTCTCTCTCTCTGTCTCTCTTCTCTCTCTCTGTCTCTCTGTCTGTCTGTCTCTCTCTTTCTCTCTCTCTGTTTCTCTGCTGGGGATTGAACCCAGGACCTTCTGCATGGTAAGCTCATCTGGGATGTGAATAAACAAACTGGACACAGCAAGAAACTACTCAGGAATAAAAAGGAGTAAATCACTAAGATGCAGCATGTGGATGAATCTCAAAATGCTAAGTAAAGGAAGCCAGACTCAAAAGTCTACACACTACAGGTTGAGCAACCTGAACCCAAATATCCAAACTCTGAAATCTTTCAAGCACCACAAGTGGAAAATCCCGCTCCTTAGACATGAGGGTAGGGTAGCGGTCAAAATGAAGGCACACTAAAATATTGTATAAAATGATCTTTGGCTATGTCTGTAAGATGTATAGGAAACACAAGTGAACTTTATGTTAAGATCTGATCCCATCCCCAAGATATCTCATAATGTACATGCAAATAATCAAATATTTGAAAAAAATCCAAAATTGAAAAAATTCTTCCAGTGCCCAGTCTTGTTTTGTTCTGTCAAGTAAGACATAAATGTCTAGACGGGCACCGGTGTCTCACATCTGTAATCCTAGCTACTCAGGAGGCAGAGATCAGGAGGATTGAGTTTCAAGGCCAGCCCAGGGAAAATGAAAAACGAGACCCTATCTCAAAATACTCAGCAGAAAAAAGGGTTAGCAGAGCGGCTCAAGTGGTAGAGTTTAGCCTGCCTAGCAAGTGTGAAGCCTAGAATTCAAACCCCAGTGCCACCAAAAAAAAAAGTAAATTGAACATGCCTCAGAATAAAACACAAATTAGATGTTAATTAGGAATGAACAAGTCCCACCCTTAAGAACTGCTGTCTGTCTCCAGCACAAGTCCTTTCAAAACGTCCACTGGACGAGGTCTTTCCCTGGCTACTCTATCTTAAAATAGCAACTCGAGCACTTCCTATACCCTTACCTGCTCTGCTTTTCTCCTTAACTATGACACTGTTTATCCTGTTTATTATCTGACTCACTAATAGAACTAAAATCTATGCAATAATTTTTTTTTTTTTTTTGAGACAGGGTCTCGCTGTGTTGCCCAGGCTGTTCTAGCACTCCTGGGCTCAAGTGATCCTCTTGCCTCAGGCTCCCCAGCACTGGAATACAGGCCAGAGCACAGCTCAATAAAGGGATTTTTAAACTGATGCACAGAATGTCTGCTACAAAACAGACTCTCAATGAGTATTTATGGCTGAGTATGGTGGCCCATGAGTATAATGCCAGGACTTGGGAGGTTGAAGCAGGAGGAACATGAGTTCGAGGCCAGCCTGGACTATACAGTAAGATCCTGACTCCAAAGAAAAGAATGTGTGAATAAAATGCAAAATGGTCTAGGAAAATAAACACCATGGCTTTACCAAGAATAACAACAAAGCTCTTATGATCAGGAACACTCTTTTGGCTGAACAGGCATTCCTAATTACTCCAAAGAGTCTCTCATACTCAGAAGAAGACATTCTACATGAACAAACGTACCTTTACTACAATACTGTGCTGAACGTTAACACAGTAGAGCTTATGTTGTGGTTTTTGTGACAATAAAGCAAACAAAAACTTACCTTTGCTTGATGTATACAAGAGTGCTGACTGAAAAGAACCCAACTGCATGTCAGGAAGACTCTTTTCCGCTGACATCTGTACTGTATACCTGGCATCTGGGTTGACATTGGGCAGAGACAGGAAGTCTGTGGAGCAGACAAAGAAGTTCCCATGGAAAGTGTGAATGGTGAGAACTAGGCGAGAACAAATTTTAAAATGACTTTATATGCCTGCCTCTGGATATTTACACTTTATCCTAGTCACTTATGAGATACTAAAAATAGGTAGATAATAGAGAGGATTTAGTGAGATTGAGGGGGATAGGTGTCTTCTTAAATAAAGGTGAGGATACAACCTTCAAAACGCTTTCTGGGAGGGACAATTTGGCTCTACATATTAACATTATTTGAACTTTAGCAATCTCTTATCTAAGAATTTATGCTATAGATATACTCATTCAAGTGCACATTTCTTTGTGCAAAAACATTTTAAACAGATTTGTCACAGCAAAAAATTTTAAAAATCACCATCACTGGTTATCAGTAGTAAAATAACTAAACTGTGATTTGTTCCTTTTAGTGAAATTAGGTAGACATTAAACAGAATGGGATAGGTTTATATAAACTAAAATGAAGGGATCTTTAAAGTTTATTAAGTGAGCATGTCATTTATGCAAATACACCATCTATGTACTTTCCATGCAGTTGTACCTAAGCCAAAAGCAGAAAATCCTGTTATGCACCAAAGTGGTTACAGTAAATACATAAGGATGTAATTGTGTGTACAATCAAGCTGATATGGAAGGAATTTAGCTTTAGCAATAGGTATATATGCAAATATATACATGCATAATGCATGTATAAAATATTTGTATTTTAAAGAAAAACAGATGCATATATTGTGAAATAAAAACTAACTTTAAAACAAGAAAGATACAGTTCTGCACATACAAAAACAGATGTCCATGATGTGGTTTAAAAACATGTGAGCATCTCATGGAGCACAGCAGAGCGGGAGCCAGCATGCAGAAGCCTGGTGACTTGCCAGATTCACACTGCCCCAAGCTCCCTTGCCAGCATCTACAGCAGGGAACATCATCTGCAGCTAGAGAAACACTTCAAGGTGGATGGGTACCCTGACTATAAGACCAGGTGGCCCTGGCTACCAGGCTCAACCTGAAGGAGTATGATGTGCAGGTGTGGTTCCAAATGTATTTGATCCTTAAGGACTGTGAGGAACTCTTTTTTTCTGGGGGGGGGGGGGCAAGGGGGAGTCCTGGAGTTTGAACTCAGAATTTTGCACTTGCAAAGCAGGCACTCTAATGCTTGAGGCACACCTCTAGTCCATTTTGTTCTGCTAATTTTGAAGATAGGGTCTCACAAGGTATTTGCCCAGGCTGGCCTCAAACCTTGATCCTCCTGAACTCAATCACTCAAGTAGCTAAGGCTTATAGGTGTGAACCACCACTGCCCCAGCTAAGTTCATTGTTAAGGCAGGAAAATGACATAAAACCAGCAGAAAAAAAAAAAAAAAAGCTAGGCCCCAGTGGTTCATACTTATAATCCTAGCTACTCAGGAGACCAAGATCAGGAGGATCATGGTTTGAAGTCAGCCTGGGCAAATAGTTTGTGGGACCCTATCTTAAAAAAAACCTATCACAAAAAGGGGGGGGAGGTGGGCTGGTGGAGTGGCTCAAGGTGTAGGCCCTGAGTTCAAACCCCAGTACAGAAAAACAAAAAAACAAAAAAAAAAAAAGAAAAGAAAAAAATCCTGGACCCATTGTTTGGTTTTCCGGAGATTACAACAACAGCTACGACCACTGAAAATAAAGTGCCAAAAGCAGAACATTTTACAAACCCCGCCCCATCCCCTTGCCCTGCCATTCCTGGCTCTCCATTATAACCAGCATTTGGAAGTGACTTGATCACAAAGCACTGCTCCTTTCATCTTTTCAGTCTGGACAGCTTCTTCTACCACAGCCTGAAGTCTGATCCCGATTTCTGGTCAGACACTGTGAAGTCCAGGGAGCTCCCCTCAGCCCTAGAGGCCTTCCAGAGACTTTCTATCTCTGCATTGGCACCTGGGTACAAAGAGGGAGGTAGCATGGCAGATTGAGGGCAGATCAGGCCCAGGATGGTTCTGAATATTTGAGGGGGGGAGGGTCTGTGCCTATGGCTCTTGCAGGTCCCATGGAGCCAGATCCCTGTGGGTACTTTTGGATCTGTGAATACACCATTTCCCCAAACCTGCTAGACAGTTCTCATGGATATGGTAGGAGAGCAATTCTTGCAGATTTTTTTTTTTTTCTTTTTGGGAGGGAACCCAGGATCTTATGTATGCAAGGCAGGCTCAGTAGTAACTGAGCCACACCCCTAGGTGGGGAAAGCATTTCTGGGGGATTCCTTCAGTACTTGGTGCCCACAGGCTCTAAATGGCCCTGCCCACCCTTACTCACACTTGGCTAGTGGGAGGTTTTAATGTCTGCTTTGTGCCCTGTCCTGGCTTTAATATTAATTTCCCTGGTGTTTGGCAGGTTGGTCATTCACATATGTTATGTCCTCTTATGTTTCATTCATTTGAATTTATTCCTCTACGACAACTGAAGTGCCTTATTATTTCTTCCCCACCCCCATAAAAAATCCCCGTGATTGTGAGAGTCATCTTTTTGACCTGGAATTAAGGCTAAAGTATGTGCTTACCTTGTACGGGAAAACTTTTAAAGGGATGTCAGAAGCCAAAGAATGGGACCTAGTGGACTATGTTTCTCTTTTTATATGTTTTAATACTTCATCTTTTTCCCCCTGTGGTGCTGGGGATTGAACCCAGGGCCTCAGACATGCTAAACATGCCGTCTACATACAGCTGTACCCACCCCATCTCCTATCAATGATTTCTAATGAAATTAATTGATCATAAAAGAAAAAACTAAGCCAGTTAACCACACAGTTTTCAGTTAGGCACTCTGTAGAGAAGCTCAAGCCTAGTTTGTTGGCATTTTCCCAGGCTCTTCCTACCCTTACCTTTTTTTAGGGGGCTGGGGGTAGGGGCATGGGGAACACTGAGATTTGAACTCAGGGCCTTGTACTTGCTAGGCAGGCACTGAACCATTCCTCATCCCAGTTCCCAGTCTCTTTATGAAAAGTAAGATAATAAAAATAACCTCTGATTCATCAAGTAGAGAAAGTCTTAAGCATGTTTAGTATGAACACTTTCCCTAATTAGCAGTCAGTATCTGGAGAAATAAACATTTTTTAATTCTGCCAATCTTATATATTAATTTTTAACGTTCTGTTTTGAGACTGTGTCTTACTTCATAGCTCAGGCTAGTCTCAAACTTATGATCCTCCTGCCTCAGCCTCCAGGCACACAGTTCTTTTTTTTTAAAAAAAAAATTATTTCTCAATGCATTTCTGTATGTCTTCATATACTGCCTTGTGCTAGCTGCTCTGGTGCTTATTATGAGTTTATAAGCACAGACCACTGTCTCACCAGTTGAGATCTGCCTTACTTAGAGTACTAACATCAGACCTTTTAATTTCATTTTCTCCTCTTTTCTACCAGCATATATTAATTACACAAGGGGTTTTGTTATGATATTTCCATACACGCATATAATGAGCTCTGATCAGAGTCAACCCCACTATTACTCGTTCTTATCTTCCTCCCCCCATTTTTAAACAATTTTTAACGGGTCTGACAACTCTACTTTCATACTTGGGTACAAAATACTTACTCACCCCTCTCATCCTCCAGACTCCTGCTGGTTCCCAACCCCAAATGCTCCTCCTTCTGACACTCCACAAACTCCTTTTAAATAATGCTACTATTACCACACCAAAGTAACTGCAGGCATTTCACTCAGCTTTTCTCTAACTTCTCAAGGTCCTGTCAAAAAGAATAATCCATTAGTGGTATAGAAACTTCTCTATTTCTCTCCTACTAAATTAGCATAGCCCACTATAAGATTTATTACTGGTTAAACTGATCAGCAGGAGGCTATTGTGCACACCTGCAGCCCCAGCTGCTTAGAAGGCTGGGGGGAAGGGGAAATTGAGACCAGCCTGGGCATTATTCAAGGGAATAAATGCTCTTACGTTGCCTTCTACTTAGAATAACGTCATATGTCATTTCACCATTCACTGAAGAAAACAATCATGAAGAACTTACCCGGAGAAGCCAAATCAGAATACTGTCCACTGAGAAGGAATAAGTCAACAGCTACCTGTTGACCAGAACAGTCCAAGGCTAATTTCTTATAGAAGTCAATGGATGGAGTCAGGTGTATTTTCTATGAATAATAAATAACAAAGATACATCAAAAAATCATTATCAAAAATGTAAATACATCTGCATATATGTATAATTATAACATCTTTGACCCACCTCATATGTGTGGTTTTTTTTTGGGGGGGGGCAATACTGGAGTTTATATTCAAGGTTTCACCCTTGCTACATAAGCCTTCTATCACTTGAGAAACACACCCAGGCCTACATAGATTAATAACAATTATCTCTGGGTATTCTACTCAAACCTTGTACATTTTTATACTACTTGATTTTTCATTAAAAAACGGACTAGACAGGTGTGGTGGCCAAGCCTACAGGCCCAGCAACTGGGAGGCTGAGGAAGGAGGACAACAAGTTCAAGGCCAGCCTGAGTTACTTAATGAGACCCTGTCTCAACAGACTAAAAACGAAGATGCATGTGTGCTGCTTTTTAAAATGGAAAAATGAGACCTGTTGACACATTGTAGGAATGGGGGGAGGGGAGATAAAAGAGAAAAAGGGAGGGGAGAATTCCACTATGACATATTGTAAGAGCTTTTGTAAATGTCCCAATGTTACCCCAGTACAACAATAAAAAAAAAATAAATTAAAAAATGTGCTGCTAAAGAATTTTCTTTGAACTTTTTAGGGCTAGGGATATAGTTCAATGTAGAAGCAAGACCTAGCATGAATGAGGGTTTGAGTTTGATCCCCAGCAGTACTGAAAAATTTTTAAAAGAAAAGTAAAGAGACAAAGAAAAGAATTTTCTCTGAGTGACTTTTCCTGTCAAAAAGTAAACATCACTAATTACATTAATTTTGTAATAGGCAAAGATAATTATTTTAATTAACATTTGTCAAATGCTCAGTATGCTGGTAACTATTCCAAACAAACCACAGGTAACACGGAGCCCCTTCGACTACCTATTTCTGCTTCACATGGAAACAGAGGAGCTAATAAGTACTCAAGTGTCCACATCTAATAAGCAGTAGAACATTAGGCAGTCTGTCTCTAGGAGTCACATAATTAGCAGAATAAGATACTGGCTTCTCTCATCTTTTGGGAAACATATTCCTCAAACTCTTAAGGTCATAATGCAAGTTGCTCAAAAGCCAGTGCCAGAATAACAAATTATGGCCACTGCTTACTAGGGACTTGCTTGTCCCTAGCAAGTGTTATTTCTTTAGTTTCCCATACTTTCTCATCAAAGCTAGGTTGGATTATAGTGGCTTGCTAAAGATATTAGAAACAAGGCATGGGAGCCTCAGGTAGAGAAAATTGTAATAAAAAAGGTATGTCTACAGAAGAATGAAACCCTTTACCCAATTCCTTATAACCCTCCTCCCCATAACTGAAAAGTACATTAAAACAAACAAAAAAGCTGGGTGCTTGTGGCTCATGCTTATAGTCCTAGTTACTCAGGAGGCAGAGATCAGGAGAATCATGGTTCAAAGCCAGCCCAGGGAACTAGTGCGCGAGACTCCTATCTCGAAAAAACCCTTCACAAAAATAGGGCTGGTGGAGTGGCTCAAGGTGAAGGCACTGAGTTCAAGCCCCAGTACTGCAAACAAACAACAAACAAAAAACCCTGTGGCCAAAGGGATAAGGGCACCAGCATAAATCATATCATAAACTGATAATTTCTGACATTAACAAATGATCTGTTTGGGTTCCTCTCTTGGTTTAAGAGCTCCATAACAAGAATTGGGAGTTGTGTTTGAAAGACAGACCATTCAACCACCAGTTGGGGCCATCAGGTCAAAAGGCAGCCTGAAGGGCAGGACCCAAGGCACCTGGGGTCTCCACTCTTGGTAAACATTTGTGGCAAAGTTTTCAGTAAATCCTGGAAAAGCTTTGGTGAAATGCAGAAGAAAACTCAAGAGTGTTACAATTCAAAAATCTTTTCTCACA